ATAGTATAACTAAAGCATTGAACATCTTTCATCCACCCACTCATCTTATGGGTGATTACAAGAAAACATTTGGTGCCATTTCTCACGGACCTCATTGGTCTAATCTGCCTTTTCAAAAGTAGGATTCAAGATCTATTCAGTTCGTCACATGTGTCATTAAGTCGGTATTGACATACTAGTAGACAGATTTTTTCCATGGGAGCAGATAAATTAGCAAGTACCAGTTTATTTTTTATTTTGGATTAAAGTAAAAATATTGGGGAAATAAATGATTTATTGTTTGAATCAATGTTAAATCAGTCACCATTAACAATTACAACTTTTAGCTAAGTTAATGATTTAAGGTTTCTTCTAAGGAAATCAAGATAATGTATATTGGTCTATTCCTATTTTATCCTCACAACTAAGGTACGTTAGGCTGATTAAGAGAATGGATGGCATACATTACTAAATGAGTTTTACAGTTCAAATGTGAATTTGTTTTTCCATGTCACTCAGTTAGGTGACTATACCTCATGAATTCTGCTACAAGTAAACAAACAATAAATACATATATATACACACACACACACAAACTATGATCAGGTAAAGAGAATCAGTTTCTCTCATCTATCATATTTGTTATATAAATCACTCTTGATTTTTTTTAGATTTTAAACTAAATTGTCCTTAGGAAAAACTTGGTATTTCATTTATGTATAAATTATTAAGAGAAAGTGAAGCTACCTTCCTGCATTCTTAGCCAGAAAGTGGATATTGGATTGTATTGATAGACAGTATTTAATATTATTGATAACCTCTAGCTAATTGGCCTTTATTCTTTATCTCCATATGTCAGCTTGAAAGAGATTTTAGATCCAACTCCTTGACATAAATCCATTTATTCAGAAGCACTCCCAATGTAAGAAATACCAAAGTTCTTCATGATCACCCACAGTTATCTATCTTAGCTGTTGTCAGGTCCAGGGTGTCTACAGAGTATGGTTAAAAAAATCGGGATGGTGGCTGCAAAGGCTGCAAAGCACATACAAATCAGGTATAGCTGCCAACACAACCTTTTTTATTATATCCTGTGAATCTATATAGGTGTTGATGCAGAAAATCACCTAACACACTGAACAAAACATGTGAACTGGTAATACTGTACAGCTACTGTGCTATGTGATCCTAATTTACAGAGGAAAATTTCCTCTTCAAAAATTGGATGAGTCTAAGACCAATGTAAAGTTTAAAGAAATATTTAAAAATACAAGACAAGAAGGGCAAACATACTGTAATTGTAGAGTAATTAGAATTTCAGATCAGAAATGGTTCAAATCCACACTAAGCACACATGTCTGCTTAGTGTGAATTTGAACTATTCTCTTCCCCTTCCCTCCAAAACTGTTGAATCTAATCTGCAAACATCTTCACTTCCCTGCCAACCTCCAGAGCCTGGGGGGATGCAGGAATCATTACAAGTAAATCAATATCCCCTCCAACTGCCTAATGGGAGCCTGAAGAAAACATCATACAATTGTCACTCTGCCCTCTGAGCCGCTGCTAGTCCCAGGAAAAGAATATAATTCTTTCTCAGCCATTCTATGCAAAAAATAAACAAAATAAATTGCCATCCATATTATGATAAGCTACTGTGGGGACAGATCAGGGTGACATGCTATTGTTTTCCTACTGCATTTAAAACCTTCTGAAAGTGATTTGTTACTAGCAGGAAGGAGAGAGTCCAGGAGCCTGGAGGTAGGTTGGTCATCAGTTACCAGGAGAAATTGGACCATCAGCAAACTCTGCAGAACTGACTAGGTACCTCCAATCCTTCTCCAATTGAACCATAGCAAATTGGGGGGGGGACTTCAATTTTCAAAACCTGTCAACATTCTGCAATCATACAAGTTCCAGACCAAAACTTACAGAGGTGCTCTTAGTCATGAAAAATCACTATTTTGGGTCAATTTCATAGCCAATCTCTACGTTATAAGTTTATTCCAAGAATAAAATTGGGACTGGTCAACATCTGATCTATGCAAATCCAGTTCTTCATAAGATAAACAGCTATAAGAATCAGAAAACTCATCACTCTTTGGTATGAGCTAGTAGTCCTCCAAACCTTTGCAGGCATTGTTGGTATCTCTAATAAAAATAGGAATGAGAGTCCTAGAAAAAGGCAAGGTACTCATGCAGTAAGCAAATGTATAAATAAAAGCAGAAGCTTGAACAGGCCGATTAAGAGTCAGCACCTGAATAGCAGATTCAGCAGGCATAGAGCCTAGAGTATTTGGCTCATTTGCAAGAAGGTTTCCATCATGAAGCAAAGCTGCAATAAAATATAGGATTATAAATCACATGCATTAGTTGTTAAGTCTCTTTTAAGAATGTTTTACATATTTTTTGACAACACCTATTGCATAAATTTGACCATTGCACAGGATTTGTCAAGAAAACAATGTTCTGTTTTGGACTGGAAGGTCATATAAACCAGGGTTCCCCAAAGTGTCATTATCAATCACCAAGGGTCAGTGAGACTATCCAAAGTGTTGTTGTCATTAACAGTACTAATAACATATTTTTTTGTGTGTGTGATAAATGCTTGAGTGTAAATGAACAAACTGAAAGTCCATGAAGGGGTCAATGAGCTGAAGAGTTTGGGAACCCCTGCTGTAAACAGAAAAGCTCTTTTATACCATCTACTTAATCAGTGTGTCACTAACTGAAATAGATATATTTACTGATGGGTTGAATAATAAACAATTACACCAATTGGGTTAAAAGTCACCATTGTATAGAATCTGCACCATCTTTTTCCAGGAAGTGAGTAGCATTTCATGAGTCTTGAGCAAGAGAGTACGGGCAAAACTCGTTACATCACTAGCCATTCCCTGTTGCCCACCAGGCAATAGTAGTTGAGGCTTGGGCACTGTGGACACCCAGTTTGTGGGAAGGGTGTTCTTCTGGCAAGTTCCCAATATGGCAAGCTTTGCTTTTACAGCTACAGTTTCTCTTCAGCTCTTCTCCTTGATAGACAAGGCTGTAAACTCACTGTGATTGAGTGCTTGTTAGATATCTGCCTAGTTGTAGTTATTTTAATCCTATAGGAAATAACCAGATCAACTGACCCTTGTGACCATTCTCCCAAAACTGTCCTATTGAGCTAGTTCCTTTAGGTTCAGGTCCATTGCACTGACTGATAGCAGTTACCATGATTGCCAGTTGGAATATGACTTATCCCTATTTGGAGGAACCAGGGCATGAAAAATACAAGCTCTGCCCCCAAAGTTAAAGCCTTCCCTTCATCTTGGGTACATTGATAAACATTTTGTAGAATTAGCAGTGATCCTGTAGCTAAAATCTTTTCTTGTGAAAACAGCGGTCAAACAATGTATATAGTGTTGGGAGACTAGCAGCAGATCTTCTAAGATCTAATTATTGATTTATTAGATATATATACTTCTTTTTATATAGATTAACAAGGACTCAAGGCAATATCTTTCCACCCATAGATAAAATCCTCCAGCATTCAAATCCAATAAAATTGTTCAAATCCAGAAAAATTCTAATATTGTTTCTGGAGTGGATGAAGGAAAATATGTACTGCTTAATACAGATAAGACAATGTTTGTAATCAGACAAACCAAGGCAAGGAATTATTAGCTGTGTTAAGTGACATTTTGCAGGGAACAAAAGGATATACATCTTTTAAATCAGCAAATACTACATTTAGCTTACTTCAGCTGTGTAATATCATTTGGTCTAGCCTGGGAAAAATGCTTTCAGAGTAGATTTCTAAATTCAGTGGCATCTTTTTTTCTTTTTCTTTTTGGGGTTTATCTAGAAGTCTGAAAAAAGAGGGGCTATTTTAATAAACAGCAGAAACTTGAACCTGTTCTGAAAATTGTTTTGAAGAGTGCACTGTTTTAATATATAACATAAGCTCTTCCAGTCATTTGTAATTTCATGGCAACTGCCATGGTGGGGTGAAGATGGTTCCAGAGAGCAAAGCCAATAATTGCAATGGTGAATGGATCGGTTCCCCAAACTCCTCTTCACATCAAGGAGAAGACCAGGAATACTCACTAGTGCTCCCCAAAAAAAAAAAAAAAATACCAATTTCTAAAAGATCTCCTATCCTTCACTTTATCCTTCACTATAAAGTCACTTTATAGTCACTTTGCCATTCGGTCATAATTGCAGCAAAGGCTGTATCATTAATTACATTTTTGTAAGACAAATCCTGAAGTCTGTTATCTGAATATGCACATGTTTATCTGTGTGTTTAGCCTGCTCCAATGCATCAGGTTTGTAGATGGTGAAAAGATAACTTAGTTTAGATGTGCATGCTTGTTTACAGTGCTGGAAATAAAAGCTAGGGCTGAGCATTGTCCAAAAATATTCTTAATTTTTTTAAGTCTCTTGTTACCACCTGGAGCCACAATTTTTCATTTTACCTGGCTTGAAAAATCTGAAGTTACTATCAAAGAAACCAATACAGATTCCAGGGAAGCCTAAAGATATTCAGTTCTATTTTACAATAGATTTGCCAAGAGCTCTTTGTTTTTTTCTGTCCAAGGCAAAAGAGAAAGAGAGAGAGAATCTCTCTGGACATGCTGCACGCCATCAAGATCCTTCTGAGCATTGATCCCGGATAACAATTTTTGTACAAAAAAGAAAAGAAGAATGATGTGGTGATAGCTTTTAAAGTTATTTAGTTTTTAAAACACTGATATTTTTCAGACATCTAAACTGAATTGCTTTACTCTGGAAGAAAACAGAGGTTGCACCATCATTCAATTATTTGCCATATTCTTCCATTTTTTGTATCTCATCTGCAAATCTTAGCAAAATATTCATATAATGGCTTTGTAATAATGGCTTTAGCCAGGCAACTGTGGTTGCTGTATCAAAAAGTATCAGGTTATGAAGTCAGACAAAAAAATAAATATTATATATTTGGAAATCATTACAGCTTATTGATTCATTTATATTTTGTTGCATGTTTCATTGTGCAGATTTGGTGCCAGGAACAGAATATGGAATTGGAATTTCAGCTACAATGAATAGTAAGCAGAGTGTTCCGGCCACCATGAATGCAAGAACTGGTAAGTGACATGCTGCATACAGGTTGTCCTCAACCTGCAGCCACAATTGGGATCAGATATTTTGTTGCTAAGCAAGGTTGTTGCTAAATGAGTCCACATCTGATTTTACAGCTTTTTCCACATTTGTTAAACTGAATCTGCAATCATTAAGTGAATCCAGCTTCCCCCATTGACTTTGCTGGTCAGAAGCTGGCTCTTTCAAAAGGCCATCACATAACCTCAGGATGCTGCAAGTGTCATAAATACCTGTTGGTTGCCAAGTGCCTGAATTCTGATCATGTGACCATGGGAATGCTGCAATGGTCATAAGTGCAAAGACCCATTATAAGTCACTTTTGTCAGTGCTATTGTAACTTTGAATGGTCACTAAACACATGGTTGTAAGTTGAGGACTCCCTGTATATAAAACCTGACATTCCAGGTTCTTACCTAAGGATAGAGGCAGTGTTACCTTCCACTGACATTAGAGTACATCTTGCTCTACTGGAGCATTACAAGAAACTAGAAAGCCTTCAAAGAGCAAATCTTGCCAGGTTTTGTTATTGGTACCAAACCTAGGTTGCCTAGGCTATAAAAATATCCTCAAACCTCCTTGGAAGAATTTAACTCTTGGAACAAAGAAAGATTACTATTGCAGTACAGTCATTTAAATTTTCATCCTGGTGCCACTATTATAAAAAACTCAGAGGTCTCTCCCCTGTGCCCCACTAAGAAAGACTGTTACATCCTTTTGCAGACCATGCCCTCGGTATATCTTGAAGGGGTATTTTGTAAGCGCTGTACTGGAAAGCATCTCTAACTGTAATAAGCAAAGGACATTCCACTGTCCCATTTATGATGAGGTTGGGACAAATTTATGGTGCTAAGTGATCTTAAGGTCTTGGATCCTTAAACTGTTTAATTACTTTCTTGCAAATGTGTTTCCAACTGTTAATAGTTAGATTGGTCTTTTACCTTATCATTTAAGCATACAAAATTTTCTTAAGTGTAGCCCTGAGTTTATCTGATTTTCCTACATCTAGCACTTTTTTTATCATCTTCTACTTTCTTTTACTGTTGTTTTGCTTTACAGTATTGTATCTTATGCTCTGCTATATTGTTATTACCTGTGATTACAATAATGAATCCATATTAAAAATGAAACAAAATGTGACAGCATTCAGAGTTCCAGCCAGCTAACAATGCCTTCTTTGGGGAAGTATATTTCCCTGGAGAACAGGCACACAGAATCGCATCCTATGTTTATTGAACATTCTTAGGCCTCATTGAGCTATTTGGATCTTCTCCCTTAGTTTTTTTTTCTTTGATTTTTTTTTCATTTTTCTTTTCCTTTGCAACATTTTGTACATTTCTGAAAAGCTGCTAATGTCTTCATTTTGTAGAAGAATGTTGTTTTAGCCTCACAAGGATCTATTCTTAGCTGAGTTCTTTATGTAGTGTATGTCCTCAAATGAAAGAAATTTACTGATGCAACAGGCTGAGGTAATGAATTAAAAGAAGATAAAATATTGCTGCAGTGGTCTAGGTCACAGGTTGATTCATTAGATACTATCTAGAGACAGGCAGATTTCTTCCTATGTAATAGTTTTCATTCATAAACGGTACAGTTCAAGAATTACGATTGGAGTTTTTAAGAACGATGCCATATTCTTCTTTTTTTTAGATTTTTTTCCAAGGATTATATTAAGATTATCATGATATAAAATGCAAATAAAAATAAAGAGGTGGTAGGGAAATGGAAAGGTGAAGAAAGGAAAATGAGAACTATAGGGGAAAGGGGAAAAGAAAAAAAGGAATCCAAGTTTTTTAGTACAGTAAAATATAAAATTACTGCCTCAATTTTTTTCAGTTTACCAACTTAACAAGTACTATCCATTTATATAACAACAAATTAGATTAATTGGCAAAACCCAAAGTCAGGAGTTTGCTTTTTTCTGTCTCAAACTCAAAGTCCAGAAGCAGTTTCCAAGTAGAAACAAAGCTTAATATGGTCTTTTTTCTAATTAAAACAGTCAATTTTGCCATATCTGATAGTTTCATCCATTCTCCATCTATTCTTCCATTGTGGAGACTGATGTGTCTTTCCATTTCAGTACATATTGAATTCTCAGTGCAGTCAACATTTGTTGTTGTTAGTTGCGAAGTTGTGTCCGACCCATTGCGACCCCATGGACAACGTTCCTCCAGGCCTTCCTGTCCTCTACCATCTTCTGGAGTCCATTTAAGCTCACGCCTACTACTTCAGTGACTCCATCCAGCCACCTCATTCTCTGTCGTCCCCTTCTTCTATTGCCCTCAATCTTTCCCAGCATTAGGCTCTTCTCCAGTGAGTCCTTCCTTCTCATTAGGTGGCCAAAGTACTTGAGTTTCAGTTTCAGGATCTGGCCTTCTAAAGAGCAGTCAGGGTTGATCTCCTCTAGGACTGACTGGTTTGATCGCCTTGCAGTCCAAGGGACTCACGGGAGTCTTCTCCAGCACCATAGTTCAAAGGCCTCAATTCTTTGGCGCTCAGCCTTTCTTATGGTCCAACTTTCACAGCCATACATGGCAACTGGGAAAACCATGGAAGCTTCTGCATTTTGATATGGATCTGTGCCCAATATTACTTTGCTTTATCACAAAACCACCAAAGATAATAAAAAGCACCTCCTTTTAAAAAAAAATTGTTTAGATTTAAAAAAAAAAACTTAACCCCACCTGCATTGTTTTTATACCTAATACTCTTTTCTCTTCCTAATTTTACCCACAACAGCCAACCTGTGTGGTCAGTTGAGCTGAGACAAAGAGCCTGATCCAAAGTCACCAGCTGACTTTCATGTCTAAGACAGGACTAGAATTCACAGTCTCCTGTTTCTATTTTGGTGCCTTAATCACTAGACTAGAGCAAACTGACTTGGAATGGTTTTAGTGCTCACCCACAGGGCAATTTTTCATTTCTCCATTATATGTCCTGACAAAGCAGTCTCCTATCTAACCATTGGTGCTGTGAAAACAGATACCTGTGTTGCACTGCTATTTTGGAGGGGAGAGAGATGTTACCGGAAATGAAAATAGTGGCTGAATAAAAGTCTGCCAGGAAATCAATAATAGAAAAAGTGAGGATGTAAGGCAACAGCAGTATTTCTTCTGAATACAATATCCAAATAGCTGTTGTCATTTGAGAAAAAAAGTTAATTTACAAACAACAGAAAGAAAAGACTAAGCATATTTAGTAAATGCTAAGCTTACTTAATCTGAGACAATTTAGAAGAGGAAATAATCAGCTACTGTTGGTGGAGCTCTGCAAGCAATCTGACCTCATTACTAAGGATTTTTCCCTCTCTTTTTGACAGCCACTTTTCTCCAATGCCAGGGACATGGATTTACTAATCCATAAAATACTCTCTTCATTTCTTTGCTTGCTAAACAGAAACCAATCCTCAGCAAAGTGAATCTTTGCAGTCCATTCTAGAAAACCAAGAAAACCTACAGCCTAACATGTCTGCCCAGCCGGCACAGGGAGTGAAATTATCCTGCAGCAGAATGGTTATTGGATATTTAATCCCTATGTGAAGATAAGGCCATTGCAATGAGGAAAAGTACTCTTTTCCTGTGCTGAGAAGCAGTCAAGATTTCAAGTCAGCTAATTTCCAAATTGTAACTTTATTTTCCTGTGAAGGTCAAAAACCTTCAAAGCATGTTCAAAGTTTGAAAAATAATGTATGGTTCTTGTGTTATGAGGGTTACCTTTGGTGCAAAGACAATAACCATGTTTAAATGCCTTCAGTCTACAGTGTAGTATTGATGAATGCAGAACAGTAAGAATAGCTCCTGGCCCAGCAATTCATTTTGGATTCATATTAGAATCTGAATTTTTTTTATGGAAAATATATTTAATTTAAAAACAACTGTGGAGCAGAGCTATAGTTTCTGCCCAACCCCAGGATTTTCAGCCACACTTAAGGACTGCTCTCAACACTCTTTAGAAATTCTGAGAGAGGAAAGTTGATATTTTCTTTCCCTAAGCAGGCAAGGAAATTTTTATTACAGCCATTGAGCAGTCAAAGTAAGAACATAACAAAACAAAACATTAGCATTAAAAGCATTCTGGGAAGATCTAGATAAAGCTCAGGGCTTAAATTACTCATTACTAACCCAACCCTTGAAGTGTCACTCAGCAGATTCAACATGCTGCAGCATAAAATTTGGCCACATGAAGAGGAACAGCGCTATCTGCACCCACCAATAAAATGGAAATATAAATTATATCAGCTAATAAACTATATACTTAGTTTATTAGTTAAAAATAAGAGAAGTGATCACACAAGGATCTCAATAAAATAAGAAATATAACTGAACATGACTCAGAGTTTCAAGTTCCCCTGAGCTACAAGGGCAGACCCAATATTCCATAGAAATCTTATAAAATTTACCTTTCGTTACCAGCTATGGTAAAACATTAAGCCAACACAAAAACACTATCTTACTTTAAGATGATTAGATATTTTTCTCTATATATTTCTGATTCACTTTTAAAATGTCAATAAAAATATATCCTAAATAGGTGATGCATCATTGGCCAAGATGGATGGAAAATACATTCAATAAATAAATGATAAACATACTATACATCCAAGTGGACTTGTGTCTTCTCAAGGCTTGATGTGAAAACATGGATGGGGAACCTATGCATTTCTTAGTTGGAAATTTGTTAGCCACAGCTGGGTAGCTACTTGTTGAAAATGCTGTAGTACTGTAATAGATGTACTTAGCACAGACAAAGGAATGATATTTCCTCTCCCTTAGTTGCTGCTAGAGAATACTCAGTGTATGTTATGTAACCCTGAGTGTGATTTACAAGCAGAAAAAGACATACATCTGTCCCACATTCTGGTCTTCCATATGAGAATAATTTCTGGAATTAGAAATGAAAACACACAAAATTAAGTGACTTCCAAGTCAACTCATTCTGTAATGCTACGCTGTTTGATCATCACAGTCAAGATAATGGGGCAAGTCATTCTGCTGTCCTTTATAGCAAGCAGGGCTTAGTGCTTTCTTTGAATGAGGCAGGGATGGTATCCTGGGGGGGGGGGGCAGGAGTGTACTTAGCCATGCAAACCTAAGTGTCCAAAAAACGGCTCAGTGTCTATCATAGAACTGGCACCACTTGATTATTACACATTTGCTTACAATAATCCTATGCCACCTCCTATGTATAGCAGATAACAGTGAGAATTTGATAAATCAATATTTTAGAGCATATATGCACAGATCAAGAATGTGCAATATAAAGAAAACAAAACAAATGTGGAAAGTCTCCCTCTAGCCCCCCTTTTTTCCCCTTTTTCTGGAAAAAAATGAAAACCATGTTCTTGAGAGTTTGCTACATCTTCACTGAAATTTGATAAAGCTCAGAAGCTTTCAGGTAAAACTGTTTTCAGATTACCATCTATATGCTATGGATTTCATGAGCTTTTTCCTTTTAAAAGTAGCAGAATCACGACACTTACTCAATCTAAGCAGAACAACTGGGAGAAAATATGCTTGAGAAAAAGGTACCATCAAACAATATCCATTTCGCTCCAAGAAAATAGCATGGCTAATTACCCATAGTCAGTTCAGACAAAAAAACATTATCTATAACAAAAAAACCAAATGTTTGCAACTTTCTATCTCCCTTGTTGAGTCACATGTATTTTTGAAGGTGTGAAAATAGCAACATGCACTCTCCAATTCTTCTCATAAAGAAAAATAAGCAAAAATAAGATACATAAAAATTAATATAAATGGGAACAAGAAGTTGAAGGGTTTAAAGAGGAATACTGCAAAGCTTCTCTCATTCATATTTATGAAGATGCTTTTAAAAACTGTTTATCTCATTGAATTAATAGCAGATGTACACAATAAAATGCTACAGATGACGGAAGAGCTCTAATTTAGTCTCCGTTTTTGTGTATACTGGGAAGAATAGAGTTAAAGATGTTCTATTTTTATACAGCCAAGAGCAAGCTGACATTTTACACATGGGGAAAGTATTTACAGCTGGAAATTCAATGCAAACAGTCTTTTCCTTTATTTGATATTTATATAGTGATTAGTGTGGCAAATATCAAAGTCTGCCTTAGAACCTCAAAATTTGATTTTTAGATCAAACTGTTCTATCAATGTTACTCAACTTTACTTCTTTCCCATATTAGGTTTGGCTGATTGCTCTGCATGCTTATATTATTACAGTTGCCAATCTGCATTTTATGGACTTGTGCTTTTAAGAATACAGTTTCAGATTAGGGAGAAGGGAAATTGATTGATTGACCAACGAGGCAGAAAAACTCAGGTCACACCATCTGAACCTGTAATATCTACAACCTGTCAATATATTTTGATCAATAAGTGCCTCCCTGTCAGTGTCATATGCTTAATTATTGTGTTTTAAATTAATATAGTTTTCCTAAGAGCCAGATTGGGGCAATGATAAGAAACTAGGAAACTAGAAATTAGGAAACTGTGTGTTCTTGTCCTGCCTTAAGCATGAAGCCAGATGGATGACTTTGGGTGCCTGTCTGCCCTAGGAAGAAAGCAGTGGCAAACCATTTCCAAAAATGTTGTCAAGGAAATTACACTTATTTGTCCAAGAGTCAAGACTGACGTGAAGGGACACATGTCTTTCTATCATTGCTTTTATGGAGGCGCAGTGGTTCAGTGTCTTAATGATGCTGGAGATGGTCTCTGTGCCAGTGGTTTGAGTTCTGCGAAGTTGAGTTCCTGTGGCAGGGTGTGCTCCAGTCACTTGCATCAGCTTCAGTCTACATAACAGTTCAAAAGTAAGTTGTACACAAGTAAATAAATAGGTTCCACACCACATAAATGGTGTTCTATGCAGGCAGTCAGATTTCTGGTGGCTCTCAACCTTTCTGGTTGCAGTACCTTTTTATGAGATGGCTCTGGGGAAGGGAGGGGGACCTAGAAAGATGCTGCAGGAAGAGCCACTCATCTTTCTTTCTGGTGCAAAGCTAGCCCAAACTCCTGTAGCACACCTTGGGAGGTGCGTGAGTATCTCCTATAACAGAGCTAGTAAATTGGCAGCCAAACTACTACTCTGCAGTACCATTGTGGTCTCCTGGCTAATGTAACACATCCATGAGCTAACAATAACAATAACTATAACCCATGATGAGATCCTATAAATGTTTTTTAAAAAAAACAAGCAAGGCCAATGAAGTTTTTATTTGCAATGCATAACAGTCTTTGCAACACAAACACACCTCACTTATGTTTACTGAGGACATGTCCTCAGAAGACAGCCACAATCTCACAGGCAGCCTGCTCCTAAAATGGGCTGTAGCTGATCCAAGGAGTTTTATTTTCCCTGTTATTTGGGCAGAAGACTTACATGGAAGAGAAATCTTCATAGTTAGCAATTTGTTGGGCTTCAACTAGCCCATTGCAAGACTGCTCCCTCCCATCTACCTGAAAGGCTTCATGACAGGAGGGGTCTAATGCAATATAGTGGAGGCTGGAGCCACAGAGTTAAAGCCTATCACCCACAAACAGCACTGTCAGGCTCTTTATCTATGGATAAACAAGAAAGGCATATGTAGGAGGGAAGTAGTACTATGGCACAAAAGCCAAGCTTCCTTTCTTCATAGACTGGCAGGGCTCCCTCCAGAATGTCTCCATCTTTCATCTCCCTTTTCACTACAGTGTAGGGTATTTGAGGTGGGGGGCCGGGGTTGCCCTGGACCCTCCAATCCCATTGAATAGAAAGACAAATTATCCCATTCCCGTGATTTTGAAGGGGAGAAATGCTGCAGGACAAAGCAGAACAAAGGGGAAATGGGCATTTGTAACAAAGCACTACAAGAGTCACTGGCAATTATCCCTCCCCATTTGCCAGAGAGGTAGGAAAAGAATACATTCATCCCAACCACATTATATCTTCAGGACAACTGTTAGTGATTTGTTTAGCTACCAGGAGGTAATGCTAGATGGGAGGGGAAAGGTCAGCCAGGAACCTACTAAACACTGACCTGGAAGTGTCCAACTCTGCGTTCTGTAAGAACAGCAACATGTTCACCATCAGATCTGGGATCTTTTTCTTCTCAAAGATGGAAGAAAAGCACATTTCAGTTGCTGTGTGTATGTGTGTGTTTTTCTAATATGTTGTACAAACTCACCTTTTTAAATAGATCTGAGAGTCAATTAAAAGACAGCTGGCTGATAGCAATTTAATATTTTATTATTTATAGCTGCAAGGGGAAAATGCCACTGATTGTGGTTACAAATTGCTGAGGGCCAACTTTAGGATTAGGAAAAAGGTGTAGCTGTTGATCTTTTTAATCCAGAAGCTATTGACATGACAGCTAATGACTACTACTGATATGGAGGGTTTTAACTTTGTTCTTTGTATAGAAAATTTATAAAGAGACTGACATTCCTATCCTACTTCTCAAGACATATTCAAATTTAAATACATTTTCAGTGGAAAATGAAATGTCTTCATGACATACTTTTGGGGGCAATCTGTTGTTCTAGAGTCTGTGAATCTAACCATTTATCATTTCACATTCCAGCTGTGTTCCTCAAATAGTTCAGAGTGGTTTAAATTAACATTTAGATAAATGTTGCAGACATGAAAACACACTAAAAATCAGCATAAAACTCAAAACTTAAGTTAGTTCTTATCCTGCAGGTGAATGCATTTCATGCCATTGTTACTTTCTGTCTTTTTACATATCCTTCTGCTGCCATAGAACTGGACAGCCCTCATGACCTGATTGTGACAGCTTCCACAGAAACATCCATCTCTGTGTCCTGGACCAAAGTCAAGGGTCCCATTGATCATTATCGGGTCATCTTCATGCAAGCTTCAGGAATGGCATCAGAGGTTACTGTCTCTAAAGATAAGTCTGAGCTCACACTCACAGACTTAGAACCTGGGACTGAATACACTATCTCAGTCATTGCTGAAAGAGGCCGACAGCAAAGCTTGGAAAGCACTGTGGATGCCTTCACAGGTACTAAAGAACTATCAGATTACATTAATCAGGTACTGAGGGTAATCTCAAAGGTCTTCCATTGCTGTTTTATGATTGTCTAAGCGCTCCATGTCACATTTGGTTGGTGTATATGATTTGTCTTAGACAAAGCCCTCTAATATTTAGAAGATTTCTCTCATGCACTGGGCATCTGAATGGCCACGTGTACACACACACACATACACACATTTTTCCCCACCTCCCTGTTCCTTATGAGTTGCAACCCACTTTGACCATTCCTTTTGTACAGAATAATTGATTTCAGAACAGTTTTTAATTTCTCAAAACAGAGAGCTAAAATTCAAGCGTACTCATGAGATCTATTCCAAAGATAAATTCCCAAAATCTGAACAGTGACAGTAATCTTTCTTAGCTGACAGGCACATTTGATCCTATTTTAAGTTAATTAATAATTAAGTTAATTAATTTACAGGTCTGTTCTCTGCTCTTATTTTTAGGATTCCGACCAATCACACAACTTCACTTTTCTCGTGTAACTTCCTCCAGTGTGAACATCACTTGGAATGACCCCTCACCTCCAGCAGATAGGCTGATACTGACCTACAGCCCCAAAGATAAGAAGGAAACCAAGGAAGTGATGCTGGACCCTACAAAGAGACATGCTGCTTTGTCAGGTCTACAACCATCCACAGAATATATCATGTCCCTGGTGGCTGTACATGGCCTTGTCAGCTCTGAGCCAATAGTTGGTTCAGTCACAACAGGTAAAAGAACAGAGTGTTCTCCATTCTAGTATGATGCCTATTTTTTAATCTCTTCTGCAAGAGAGTTGATTGCAAGGTCCTTTAGAAAGAATGCCTTTTGAGCAGTTGCCCCTGTAAGTATATCTCTACACACACATCATATATGCATGTACATCATCACTACCAAAATTATGGTCACCTTCAGGAAAGCTGTTAAGATCTAACTTTTCCGCCACTTGTTTGGGACCAGTTGAGTTGAGTTTGGGACCATTTCGGATGTTTTTATTATTGTGCTTGGTTGCCATTTCATATTTTGTATTTTATATTTATATTCTGTTTGCTTTATAGCTTTATTTGGGGAGGGCTGATTTATTGTTTGCTTTTCTGTTGTATGTTGCCCAAGTCACTTTGTTTTGAGTTGGGCAGCCTTATAGATCTAGTAAATAAATAAGAAGTACATATTAAAGACAATATTTGAAATGAGAGAATGTTCTTTGATTTAAACTAAAGTCTTTTGAGCTATTAAAAATCACATTTAAGTCAAGGTAGACTAGCTTACTTTGCTTACTTAATATTAGCTATCCAGTTTTCTGAAAGTTCTAAAAAACATAAATTACTGTATGTTTCAATCCTCAATACTGCTTGAAGAACTAGGATACTTTTGTTTTAATATTTCAACTCCTTTAAATAGCCCCATCTGTTTTCAAGAATGCTGCCAAAATCTGAAAAAAAAAGATGGGATTGTTTGAAAGAGCTGTTTGCTTTCATTATATTCCAAAATATTTATTTAAATCATGTTTGAAACATAATTTCAGTATAATAGAGGAATAATACAATATTTCTAGTCTAAGAATGATATACGAGGCCATAAATTTTGTTATGAAAATTATAACATGACGTAAACCCTGTGAAGTAGGGTATGGATTAACCAAAAATCAATGTTCCATCTCAATTTATTTATTTCACTACAGTAATTCCCAAACTTTGCTGTTGGAGAGCTAGTAGTCTGTTCCAAGAAATACATTTATATTATTAACAATTCTGGTAAGCCATACAGGATCCCCAAGCCAATACATTATCGCAAATACATCTGCCAACTCCATCTTGGTGTAAGTCTAGTTCAGGATTTATCATTTTCTGATGGGCAATGGCTGGAACAGAAACTAATGCAGAATGCAGGAGTTGGGAGATCCTCTGAGGGAAATCAGTATTACTGTATTCTGCAGATTCTAAAATTATTCTTTAGGATGTAAGAATGAAGATTGCTTCCAAATTTTAATTTAGAAAATAGTCTCTGTAGCTCTCTGATGTTTGAGAACCCTTGCTGTATTCTTACTATCAGCTGTATTTTGGGTTCAACCTGGAAACAAGTAGCTACAACACAATCTGTGTTGTGTCATACACTTCAGAGTGGAGTAAGGAGCAGTAAAATAGTTGAGGCAGACAGAATATAGACTTTATGTAGTGATAACAAGATGTCTATTTCTTGCTTTCTCACAAATTTCAACTTTGCCTTCACTTGGCTGGACTATAGAAATAACTAGTATCGCAGAAAACACAGCCAAAATTTGGTTGATAAAATTACTAACTGTTTTTGTTTGTTTCCTTTAAAATGATCCCATTTCTCCTTAACTACCCCCACACAACAAACAGACCACACTTCTGTCTGAAATAGTGTGCTTTAATAACAGAGAGCTTTCAAAAATGAAAATGGGATTGCTTGCTTCTCAATCAGACTCCCCTGAATTAGCACGTCCATGGCTTGGAGGTTCTCACAAGCCCTGCTGATCTTTAGCTGGTATGGCAGTTATGGGGTGGTTTGTGTTTGGGATTTGTTTATTATTATTATTTTTAGAACCCAGAGGCCCTGGTTATAGTGACCTCATCCTCATCAGCTCACAGTTAAATTACTGCAACAAATGGACTGTCTTTGGAGAGGACTTGGAAGCTACAATTGGTCCAAAATACAGTGGCCAGTTGCTAACTGGAGATACAGATGAGATCATATAATTCTGATGCTCCAGTTGTTGCACTGCTGGTGCTTTGCTTCAAGATCCAATTCAGAGTTTTAGGGTTCATAGACCAGGTCAAGAAACCAACCCCACAGGAAAGCTGCTTTTTATTGAGACTGGTTCAGAATTGTGCAAGTCTGATTATGCTCCCCTTTCTTATACTCCAGAGATTCAGGGAGGCTTCTGCCTGAGGCACTTCTGAATTTTATTTGGTTTCTCGAGTTTTTTTTTTTTAAAAAAAAAGTTTCAGCCCTCTTTTGTCTGGATAACAGTTCTTGCAAATTTCTGTCAAGGTCATCTCTTGTACTTTCTATATCAGCTTCCAGGTACTTGCAGATAGGGTGGCTCTGGCCCTAGGCAAAATTGTATTTTAGTGCCCTATATGGTTTGGCTCATCTTCCGACAAGATGCCCTCTTGTTTCTTTTTTTTTCCCCAAGTTTTTGAGCTTTACACTTATGATTTTCAGTCCTGAACATTTTTTTTCTTTTATTGGACATTGTAATCTTTGAGTGTGTTGGCTCATGAAGTACATCTAATGCTTTTTTATTTTTATGGTACTTTTTTTTACTTCCCTTAAAATTTGGGGCCCCTAGATCAAAGCCTACTTTACCTTAGTCTAGAATTGGCCCTGGTCTCTCTTGGCAAGTTTTAATCCATACAAAATATCTTTTCAAAGAGGGGATGATATGGTGAAGGATTTTGGAGCTTGATAGCATAAGCATTATGTATATACTGTATAATTGCTACCCAAAGCTATTCACTATATTACAATTAGAATATGAATTTTGGAATTTTTTTATCTGTTGCCCTTTGTTTCATATAGAGATTGATCCACCGAAGAACTTGACAATTGTCAATGTGACTACAGAATCTGTGACTGTCCATTGGGCACCTCCAATTGCACCTTTTGACCACTATAAGATTTCCTGCAAATCCGCCCAAGGTAATTGTGCTCCATCCCCAAAGTTTGTGAATGGAGTTCTGGGCTCCAATAGAATATATATAAATACATTTAAACCAAGACCAGGGTTCAGCAGGATAACCTATTCACTAGCTGGACTACTTTCGGCCCATATTATTAGGATTCCTACTGAATATATGAACAAACTTAGTCCCATTCATGCACCTTTATGCTCAGACTTAAGATCCAGTTCATTGGATATGGTTTATTCCCAGTTATGTTTGCCAGAACTGCAGTCTTAATGTCCTAAAAAAGATTATTTTATTGCAGTTCCATAAAATGATACGCCAAACTTCCAAAGATTTTAATTTTAAAGGACAGATGGGCAAGCAAAATAAAATAGGGGTAAATGTTTTGACAAGAGACTTTCATTGCATTTGACAAGCACCTTGAATAAGCTACTTCTATACAAAAAGTCATCTGCTAATTACACATTCCCCAAAAGTAATTCACTGCATATGTAATTCAGTCATCTGCCTTGCCCTCTGACATTCTGCTGTAAACATGGAAGCATGTTTACATAATGCAACTGCACATTTAAAAAATAGGAAAAAATCGCATTATAGGTTTACAGAGAATTTGGAGTTGAGTAGATGTCTATTGTATAGAATATATTATAGTAGTTAAAGTATTGAACTAGGATCAGAGAGACTCAGGTTCAAATCCATCCTCAGTCACAGAAACGTACAAGGTGGTTTGGCGCACTCATTATCTCTCGGCTCAGTCTAATGCACAGGTTTTTATATGTTTCTCCAAGCAAGTATAAAATGAGTTCATACATTGTGGTAAGTCACCATTGTCTTAACCATAACCTGTTGAACAAGCTAAAATTAGCTTAATTCACATATTGTAATGCACTAAGCTGTAAACCATAGCTTACAAACCACAATAGAAGAATTAACATATTTTAAACCAAAACCAAACAAACCACAATATTATTCTGCACAATATATGAACCCAGTGAACATGTGGTCTTGTCTAGGTTCTTAGAACAGGACTATTATCATGCTTAGAAAATGTTAAAGCAAAACATGGATAAACATCTCTCCAAACATATTAGGGATTGTAAATGTAATGTTGGCTTGCTTCTCAAACTGTATTTCAAGAAGCTCTGAATTTTCTCATGAGATAAATTATGATGGAGAAGTCTCTTCTTCAGATAATGTGTTAAATACAATCCATATCTGATTGCAATGCACAGTGCCCAGAATTTATTCTATACATTTCTGGATTTCATTTTAAGTTATTAAGTCCACCAAGTCTGAACTGAAACAATACCAGAGATTTTCTGTAGATGACTGCCAATTAGTATACTTCCAATGGGTTAGAAGATGTCTCATGGCCACTTCCTTAGATTTTAATGCTTAAATTATGACCACAATTAAGACCACAGCTAAGCAAGGCAGTTGTTAAGTGAATTGCACCCTATTTTAAGATCTTTTTTTGCTATAGATCTTAATTGAATCACAGCAGATGTTAAGTGAATCAAGCAGTTGTTAAGTAAATCCAACTTCTCTTCTTACTCTGCTTGTTTGAAGCCAGCTAGGAAGGTCACAAATGGCAATCCCATGACCTCAGGACACTGCAGCTGTTGTAAATTTATTACCAAGCATCCACCCTGGGGATGCTGCAACAGGTGTAACTGTAAGGACTGGTTGTAAGTCACTTTTTTCAATGCTGTTGTAACTTCCAATGGTTGCTAAAACAAAAGGTTGTAGTCAAGAATTACCTGTGTTTGCATCCAGAAAAGAAAGAAGCATCATAAGGGCTATGTTTTTCAGGTTTTTCCACGGAACTAAGAATGGAAAGCATACCTGGATACCACCTTACAATTGTCAGGTTGTTTTGGGAACACCTACAGTAGTTGAAAATAACAAAGTCCTTTTCTCAATCCATACAGGGCGAATTGACAGTATAGTTGTTGCAAAAGACATTACTGAATATACTCTCAACTACTTGCAGCCTTCAACTGAATATGAAATCAGCCTAAAGAGTATAAAGGGCAGAGAGGAAAGTGAATCACTTTTATATACCATGTATACAGGTATGAGATGCCTCTTTGAAAATATAGAAGTGTAACAAGTTTATTTGGAGAAAAGATGGCTCGTGATGGACAAGCATTATTAGCTAGTTATAGGATGACCCTGTATCCCACTGATCCCACTGAGTTTGACTGAGCCAGGAACCAGGCCTTTCGATGGAAACAAATTTGAGGAAGCTAAAGAATGTTCAATCTGATTACATTAAAGAATTCCTGTTGTGCTCTATTTAGAAGTCTAAGCCTCAGACTATATTGGCCATATTGAACTACCGTAGCAGTTAAGTTCAAATATTCCACTAAATAGCTATTGGATACATTGGCCCTGACAAAATAAAGTCACAAATGTTAATCTGAGGGAAAAAATTGAATTCTTCCTTTGGGACAAAATCCCACTGCTACTTACTGAGAAAAAAATTATAAAGAAAGAGTAACAGTAAACAATATATAAAATATTCTACCCCAATCAAATCAACTTGTATTATTCTAAATCAGAGATAACTTCATTTGAACTTGAGCCTACAACTAACCCTTTCAAACTGCCTAAAGTCTGAAAAATGTTGGCCAGCTTGGGAAGCATTCACTTGTATTTATATCTTTATATTAACGTTGACCCAAAAATCATACTATCAAAATTTGCGCTTGATGATAATTCAGAAATAGTAGAGGAGTGCTAAGACTAAAATGTGATCCACAAATTTCCTATCCTGTTCCAAATGTTCCTATAATTCACATCTTTGGATACTTTCTCAGAATATATCCTGATAGAGCAATAAATAATATGGCTATAACAGTTAAATATACCAAGCAGTGTTTTTCCAAAATTTCAGGTATATGCTGCAAATTTATAGGCAGTTTTTCAGCTTCTAATCATTTTCCTCTTCCTTGTTGGAGAGAGGGAAGGGAAGTAATAAAATATCTCTGGTCATGTATTAGTGCTGTGCTATTGCTGAAGAGGTAATCCAAACAAGTTTTAAATCTATTACTTCCATAGTCTAGTAACATCTAAGCTTGAAGTACAGCAGTTTCAAGGAAGGCTGCTGCAAAGAAACAATCAAGTGCTTCACGGATAATGCATTTTAGTTGGGAATTTGTTGATAATGATTATTCTAAAACATTTGTTTATTGAGCCATTCATTCATCCATCAGATCTATGATTCTTAGAGGCTTACAAAGCTTCCATGAGGGTTTTGCTGTCATAAGCCACCCAGAGTCACCCTACTGGGAAGACGGGTGCATATAAATTTAAGAAATAAATTTAAGAAATAAATAACATTATTCTCCTGCATAACTTTTGCATACATAAATATAGACCTTTATTATGCTTTCTATTGTGTTGGTCTTATTTTTTCATCATTACTAATTGCTGAAATGAATCCATGATTATTCTGATGACTATCTCATCTTGCTTTTTGCCTTTTTTGCAGCCATGGATCATCCAAAGAATTTGATTGCCATAAACATTACCCCAACAGAAACCTTGCTAAAGTGGGACCCGCCTGGCGTTGAAGCTGAAAATTATGTCATTGTGCTTACCCATGACAGTGGTATGTCTTTACTTAATGATCAGAATTCAGCATGGAGTTGGGGCAACCACCACCAATCAACTGAGATAAACACAAGTGACTGGGGCTAATGGTGAAAGTTGATATTAATCATTAAATGCTGAAGAATGTTTCTGTTTAGCATAAATTTCATTATATTTTACAATAATATTTTTATTCTTATACCTTTATCATTCATATTTTAACTATCAGATTTGGGACAGGCCCTCCATCTTTCTCAGTCACAGTTGAGTGAAGGACAACTGATTTTAATATTTTTCAGTTGTTATGCTTTCAGACCTTTCCATCTCCACACTTTGCTACATTTCAAGGAAGCAATTTAAAAAAAAATTGTAAAGGAAAGATACAAGTATGACCATATTTTTAGAAGTGTTAACTGTTCCTTAATAAGACTATTAGCCATTGACTCAGTACTGTTCCCTTGCAGAAATAAGAACAAGTAATTCAGAACAAAAAGTAAGAGCTGTTTTGTTGTTCTTCTTCAACAAGAAGGAATGTTGTGTATGAATCACAAAAGGATTTCCAGCTGTGACATAGGAATGAATCTCCATGTTTATCCTAATGTTAAAAATGAATCTTCCACAAGATTTATGACTTAACATTAATTCAGCAAATCCAGTTTTTGAGACTTGCCGAATTTGTATCTGATTATGGTCTTGCTGAAGTCTGTATTATTAATAAACTTGGAATATTGATATCTGAAAGCTGACTGTGTGATTCTACCTTTCTTGCCTCTGTAAGATTGAATGAGCTATCTGATAATTAACTCCAATTCTTGTTTCTGTTTGGATCCCACCTAACCTCTGATTTCAGTTGCCGGAGAAACTATTTTGGTGGACAGGACCGAACAAGAATATAAGCTTATCAATTTGCTTCCCAGTACCAGCTATAAGGTCACAATGTATGCTATCAATGGGCCTGTCACAAGCAGAACCATCTACGCCAACTTTACTACTCGTAAGTATTACATATTCCTCCCTCTAATAGAAATTTACAAGCTGATTTCAAATACTAGCAGGAAATGAAAGGAAAGTATTGCTTGATACAGATAACTCACAATTGCATCTATGTTTTCTGGGTTAAGCTCAGTGATTTATTGTATATTGTTCATTTTCTGTTGCTGGCCAGTTTCTTCAGTTGGTGGAATGGAAATCTATTGGACTCACTGAGTCCTAAGAACCTGGCAGGCATTTTTTCCCCTGGGAAATTATAAGTTTTTGCCTGACTCATTTTTAAACATCATTATCACCTCCACATAGATATGTGAGCCTCTTCCTCTATTCCTTTCCTACTTTTACAGTTTTGGATCCGCCCTCAAATCTGACGGCAAGTGAAGTGACTCGGCGAAGTGCTCTTCTTTCATGGTTTCCTCCTGTAGCTGAGATTGAGAACTACATCATGACATACAGATCTCCTGATGGGAGCCGCAAGGTGGGGCCTTCATCTCTGAACTCCATGACAAGGGATGGCAACATTTGGTGGCTGTATCAAAGAATTTGGGAGCATCTATCTTAAGCCTATTTTCAGGTTTCCTGTATACTTACACTACAATTCTCATGAGTTTCCTGTCTTATAACGGTAGGATTTGATACTGCTGATTTTGGGAAAGTGGCCAGATCTGGCCACTTGTGGCCTATAATGATAAGTTATTGAATCAAACAAAATGAGATTTTTCTCCTTTTTTTTTTTTTTTGCTTGCATGTAATGATCCTAGGGAGTCATGAATCATTTGCATAGTAAAACAATTGTTTGCAGTCATTTCTCCTCCCTGGTTTATTCTGACGTGGCTTCCATTGTTTCACTACTATTCCTAATGTGTCTACAAATCAGGAATAGTAATAGTAGTAAAGTTGGAAGGGACATTGGAGGTCATCTAGTCCAACCCCCTGCTCATATATTTAATATGATGTTGTTACAGTACAGAGCAATAAAAGGACCATTTGCTGAAAGCATTAAAAGCAAGTGAAGTTTGTTAAGAGTGAAGGCAATGAGGTCACATGAGCAATCTAGACAATCAGGAATAACAAACCAAAAGAACCAACAATTCTTTTTTAAAAAGCAATAGTTTAAAGCAGAGGTGTCAAACTGCCAGCCTGCGGGTTGGACGTGTCATGCAGAACCACGCCCACCCCGTTGCTGGCAATGGCAAAACTCTCCCGATACGTTGCGCAACGTCACGTGACGTCGTGAATTTGACATGTCTGGTTTAAAGGAAGGACTTCCTTCCCTTCTGGCACACAAAATAACTCAGTGCTCCTGTTTGGCTGTGTGTTACTTAATGCTGTAAAGTATAGAGCCCTTTCTCATGGGTTGAAGAAGAAAATAGTGTTTCTTAAATGGAAGGATTTGTTTATTTGTTTTTGCTGCAGAAAGTTGTAAACAATGATTATCTATATAGACCAGAGGGAGACAATCTTGGCTCTTTTATGACTCATGGACTTCAACTCCCAGAATTCCTGAGCCAGCCATGGTTGTCTACCCCTGGTATAGACATACACCTAACCTCTTGTTCTGAGTAACCAATCAAGAAACCAATCATGCATTCCACAACTGCACACAAGACTGAAAAGTTGAAATATCACACTAGAAATGGCACTAGCAAGGCATTTTATATTATTACCAAAAACACTAAACTGGCCTCTTTAAGTAGTTACTGAGAGTAGATCTCAAATTGAGGGAACATTTATCATTTCATTTATGATCTATTATAGTAGTTTTACAGCATTATTATTATTATTTCAGTAAGATAGCACTCATGCCTGCACAGTATGAAAAAGTAATGGAAGGAAGCAACAGGCAAGTAAGCAAAGCTGGCTTGACTCATTCCTTACATGATGAGAAACCTTTCACACTCTTACTCAGAGCATTTCCCCACTTCTATTCAAGCCATTCTGCACTGTAATCACTGAAGAGAAATGCAGTTAGAAATAGCGTTATATCTTAACCAACTGCTGGGGAATTGTAGAAGAGATAAGATACCTCTGCCTCCATATTTTTAAAGATATGATTTATTAAATAGATTTTATGCACTATTTTTATCCCAAAAAAACCCCATAAGCTTCACTTAACTAAAAACATTCTAAACTTTCGCAGAAGCAATTTCCATCAGTTGACCTGCCAACTACTGCAGAGAGTGACGGGAACTAATATCACTTCTATCCAAACTTGCATGCAACTTTTTGCGACATCTTTGTATAGCTTTCTTATTGATTTGATTTAATGCTGTCCAAGCCAAATGGCTTTGTGTGGCACACATACACCAGAGCAATTAAAAAAAACAATACAGGGAGTCCTCAATTTACAACAGTTCATTTAATGACCCTTCAAGATCATTGAAAAAGTGATTTATGACTGTTACAGTGTCCCGGGATCATGTGATCACCTTTTGTGACCTTCTGACAAGCAAAGTCAATGAGGAAGCCAGATTCACTTAACAACAGTGTTACTAACTTAACAACTGCAATGATTCACTTAATAACTGTGGCAAGATCATAAAGTGGGCAAAATTCACTTAATTTTTTTTTTATCGAAAAGCGGGTGGGGAAAGAGGCAGAAATTCAACAATATATTGATACATCAACTCCAGGTCTGGGACAAAAGACAGATTTTAAGAGCTTTCCAGAACCCCAGGAGAGAGGGTGCCACCCTATCTCCAGGAGGATGGTGTCTTAAGGGGGCATGTGTGACCTTGATACCATAATAAAGAGGGCTGCTGGGCAGCTATCAGCAGATGCTATACACTAAAGGCAGAAAAATAACCGATTCAATTTTGTCTCCTGTTTGTTTGTTTGTTTGATCGATTGATTGATTGATGTATTTGTGTTGTTTAATAAGATCATTTTAGTCTAAGCCGTGTGGTTTGATGTTTTATCTGTTTTTATGGAGTTTTGAGGTTTGTACACGGCATATAATCCATTGAAGTTGGGCTCATAAATTCAAACAAATAATTATATAAAATCGCTGTATCAGTCAGGAAGTCCCCACATAATAGACAAACAGAATACTCTTATCTCACACTGCAGTGTTCTTAGATGTAAGAACAAAGTCCTCAAGTCAGATACAAGCTGATAAGAATAGATACAGACTTTTATCTCTGTCCAATAATCAAGAAGTGATGTATAGATCCATCTCCAACTTTTCAAGCAAGATGCTTCTTAACTAAGTCACTGAGAAATGCTTATAGAAAAAGGATGTTCTGCTCTAGTTCTGTCTGAAGTCTTGTCATAGAGATTTAGAAAACTGGGTACAGGATTACAATAGATAGCAGATGTTTTCCAGTATCTGAATCTGACAAAATAGAGGTAGAATGCTGGTATTTTTTTCTGGATGTTTCCTTTTGATAAACTGTGTTTCTAGATATTTATTTTGTAAATTGTTTTATTTGATTTTTAACCCTCTGTATGCCATCTAGAGTTACTCTGGTGTGCTGAACTGCTATATAAATTGTTTCAATAAAGTAAGTGGCAGCAAAATTTAGACATTTGTCATGGAAATTATTAGCATGAGAAATTAGCAGAAATGAATTATCCCGAATGGCTGACTTTGCTTTCAATCTCTTGAGTTGGATTATAGGGACATTTTCCATTTCTTCAGCACACTAAATTCTTCCCAATTCCCCTACATGAGTCCCTTCTCAAATCAACCTTCCATGTTTTTCATGTCAATTTCACGCAACTGGATATTCTCTGGCTGCTCAAACAAGAGGATAAGCCTGATCTTACAACTTTGACAGTAACTGGGTAATACAACCTAGCGTGTTCCGTTCCATTTCACCTGAGACCCATCCATGTTGGTATAATTGATTTTTCCATGTACTCCGATCTTTTTGATCAGGTCTTAGTAGACATTCACTGCCAAGAGACAAAAGTTCAAGATAATGATCTTGGGGATGGGAAATTTCCAGATAGCTTTTTCTTATTTTTTATTCCATTCTCATTTCTTACCCAAGCTCTGCAAATTTAATCTCCGTTATATCAGTGTTTCCATTTTGTTAATGATCCACACACAGGAGCTGATTGTGGATGCAGAAGATACTTGGATCCGCCTAGAAGGTCTTTCTGAAAACACAGAGTACACTGTGCGCCTGCAAGCAGCTCAAGATGCTATGAGGAGTGGATTTATCTCCACCATCTTCACTACAGGTAAAAGTGCTACATCATCTGTTATCCTATGTCTCATGGCCACCATAGCCACCATAGCTTTATTAAGAGGGTTTTTTAAAAAATGAACTCTGTCAGATTTGCATCATTCCTTATAATATAACTGCTTAGGTTCAGAACAGCACAAATGCAGAGCAATTTTTATAAATACTCCATGCACAGTTGATTACTACTACTAAGCTTAAATCTCCTAGCAGAAATTAATTCTCCTTCCTCTCCCACACAAAGTAAAAGGTATTGTGGAGCCTGCTTACATAATATCTTTTACTGGGTCATGGAAGTAGGAAGTAGCATTGCCAGGGCCACAAGAAAGACAGGCTCATAAAAGCAAACACTTGGTCCCTAAAAGTGTGGGTTTTCATACATACATTCATGCAGTTATGTTGGGATATTGATAAAGGAGAGAAAAAGGTGGGAGATGGGATGGGATCCCAAGGCTCTTTCTCCGATAATTCCACCATAGTTTTTCATTTTCTGATCTAGCATGGAAGCAAAAGATGGGAAGCGGGAAGGGAGTGCATATCCCAGCCTGGGATGACTAAAAATGGCAGATATATGTCTGTCCCAGTCATCCCAATTTATGGACTGCTGGTGTACAGAGTGACTGAATTGGTTGAGTGAGGAGATCAGCCCCACCATGCAAATCTTTCCACAGAAGTTCAAGATAGAGATTTTCCAAACCAGTGATCTGTTTCCAAAGTTAGCAATGAAATAAGGACGTGAATAGATGAACAATGGAAAAACAAATGTACTTCTTCAGAAAATTATGTATTCCTTTTTAATTTTCTTCCAACAAGACTGAACTTCCTGTCCTGTTTATTATTTGACTGCTGTGTGAAACAGCACAGTAGCAAATATAAATCCAGCACAGAATAATTTAAGGCAAGGGAAATATAAAGAAAAAAAGGTTTTGACTAGTACTAGGAAAAGAATAGAGGTAATATTAGAAAATCTGTCTGAAGAAAGGGTCCCAAAGAGAGGATGCCTCATTTAAAAGGCACTGCTGCCAGTAGATTTATTTCGGATAATGTGAAGTAAATTTTAGCAGACTTTTATGTGGCTAGACTTTTACCCAAGGTAATTTCATTGCAATCCCAACATATCTGGAGGGTTTCCAGCTCTTCAAGGTGGTCCATACAAGAAGCACAAGCTGTGACTGTTAACACTAACTTTATTGTAAGGTTACAGTATCAGAATATTACAGATCAGAAAGTACTTCTCCTCTCCTTTACTTTTACTTTCCAGAAAACTAGGGAGGGTCCCTTCTGAGATGCTTCCCAGTTCTGTGGACTGAGGCACCCTTTACATTATGATTGTCTAGGCTGTGGCTCTTCCTCCTGTCTTCCAAGGTCATTCCCATACAATAGTGCCACAAAGACTGACAAGCCAGGTCTTTCAAAATAACGTAATATGTTACCTGAATTCATTTACAGTTATTGCAAAATATTCAGATTTACTAACTGAAGTTTCCAAAAGGCTTTCAAAAGTGCGTCTGGACTATAAAGTGTTAAAGTGATTTTTCTCCAGGCCATGAGCCAGCAGAAAACTATGCTAGTATAAAATGAAGTTCCCACAGTCCCAATCACTAGACAGAATCAGCAGAATGGGTTTGCCCAGAAAAGAAAAAAGAGAAACAAGAGAGGTAGGATGCGAATGACTCATTTGGTCCAATTATTGGCAGCAGAAGACCCTCTTCCCTTTTTTTTCAGATGCATGCAAAAATATATTTCTTTTCTTTCTTTTTTTTCTTTTTCTTTTTTGCCACCCACTCCAACAGTTCCATTTCTCTTGCAGCCCAGGGCAAGAGATGGTGGGAAGCACATCTTTTGGTGCCAGTTCTCCGTCTCTTCAGCTACCACCTCCCACAGAAAAGCTGTTCATACACTCCCTGAAGATTACATACCATAGCACCTAATCTGAACATGGGGTGCATTTTCCAGCATGTTTCATATGGGAGCCCATTGCTGTGCTGGAGTGCGGGTTGTAATCCTTTTTTCCCAGTTGCTATAATTTTATATTTCTGTATATGTTTCTATTACTTTCGATATTGTGAACCACCCAGAATCATGTATGTGAGATGGGCAGCCATATAAGTACACTAAATGTATATACATGAATACACACACGCATGCATGCATACACACAAACTCACACATCTGTAGATCAGACACTGTTATGGAGCTGAAGCGACAGTTTACTGTGACCACCTTACCTTGCCTTCCTGGGACAATTTCTTGATCCTACTAAATAGCTCTGCAGGATGAGATAAGAACTGTTTCTTCCCCGCATTTCTCTTGCTATTCTCTTGCCCCTCCTGCATCCCTCTCAGGAAGCCCTACCCCCCCCCCAGGGTAGAGAAAATGAATAGTTTTACCTAACATCTATTTATTCCCAGTAAGCAAGATTTTTGGAAAAAAAAAATGAATATCTAACTCCACAATCTGAATGTTTCCTTTGTGTTAAAGTGTCAGTTTATGAAACACATTATTATAATCCCAAGTGCTACTGAGAAATCTCACCTTAGGAGAATACTATTCTGTAAACAGGTTGTGAATAAGAACAGAACAAAAGAATAGCTGTGTGAAATTATCTCTTTAGAAAGCCATGTTCAAAAAATGGTCAAATCCAATTTCATTTGTATTAAAGTGTTCAGAAGAGATGACAAAAGGAAAAAGAGCTGTCCACTCATTCGCCCTATCTGTGTTTATATCTAGTAGCCTAAAAGGAATGCCTTGGACCTATTGCAGACCTATGTTTCACTGAGACAAATAAAAAGATTTTTGAAGTGTCAGTTAACAACTCTGGCTATCAACAAACACAAAGCCCACTTGCTTTAAATAGCTGGAGATCAGTGGCTGCTACCTTATCCTTCCTTCCACTTCAGTTAGGATAAAGGAATAGAGCAAGTTTGTTGCAAAGGATAAAAACAGAGTTTTCAAAATGATCCATCCAGCTTAGTTAAAGCATATCAAATTGCTTGGTGTTATTTGACACAGCGTGTTTATATACATCTTCTCATGATCACTTGTCAAAGAATCATAGTGTTGGAAGGAACCTTGGAGGCCTTCTAGTCCAACCCCCTGCCCAGTGCAGAAATCCTCATTACATCCTGCATATATGGATGTCCAATTTTTTTCTTGAACACTTCCAGTAACGGAGCACCTGTGATTTCAGGAAGTAGGTTGTTCCACTGCTTAATAGCTCTTACATTTAGGAAATTCCTCCTTATTTCAATGTCAGTGTGTCACTGTAAAGCTTCCATATATTGTGTTCTACCCTTGAATGTTCTAGAGAATAAATCCACACTCCCTTCCCTGTGACATCTCTTCATCTACCAGACGGTTGGTGTTGTGTGTCCCTTTAGCCTTCTCTTCTGTAAGCTAAATACATCACGTTCATTTAAACAATCTTTGGAGGATTTAGTTTCCAAGCCCCTCAGCATCTTTGTGGCTTTTCTCTGCATTCTTCCCACTTCTCATGCCTTTGATTTACACCAGGACAACCAACTTCTATACTTTTAAGTGTCTTTCTGTTTACTAAGGAAATACTGTGATGGGGACAGATTTTAGAACAATCTTCATCCCTAGATGCATGAGGTTTAACACTATAGAGATTCAGGATCAAGACCCAATCCAGTGCAGATCTGGCAAGGCACATCCTCTTAGTCAGCCTTCCAAGTGCACTATAGAGATGATCAACTGAAGACTCCTTACAACAGCCTTCTCCAATCTAGGCTTCCAGATGTATGAACACAACTTACAGAATTCACAATATAATGTGTGTAGTCTGACAAAAAACAAAAACAAAAAATGTCTCAAGACACCAGTCTGATTAAATTCTGGTAATGCTTTCCAGAACAATAAGGTATGATTAACAAAAAGGAAATTCCCTGGCTATACACTGAAAGTGTTATGCCTGTTCGTGTTTGTTGGAAACATAACAAAGGCCTTTTATTCTTTGCATCTTGTTAATAACTATCTGTCCTTTGTTGTTCATATGTACACAAACCTTTAGGGGAAACACATTACAAGTTGCGTAAAGGAAACATTATTTTGAATGTCATCCATTTCTTCCAAGATCTGTTGAAAATTTTAAAGGTATTAATATAAATGGAAAATAAATAATTCCCATGGAGTGAGTTGGGGAGTACAAGGGGCTTAAATGTTATAAAAAGCAAATGTCTCTTTGCACAGTGAAAGACTTGGAAATACCTATGAATCTAAAAAAAAAGGAAATTATATGAGCAATATTAGTCCCAAAGGCAAAATTGTATGTGTTTATTGTCATTAAAGCAATGAAGAGCTGTTAGCAGTGCCCTGCAAAACTCTTGCTCCATTTCTTGAGAAGCAGAGGTAAACAAAATATGTGCAAAACAACCCAAATTAGCTACTAGTACTGATGATTATTAGTTTGGATAATGAAATGACGATAAGAAAACTACCAAGCTCAAAGAGCACTAATGACTCCTCATAACCCAAATTATTTGATAGCGTTCAATCATTTCCTAGTACAGAAATTAAACGTAAGTGTATGCAGTATTCTTCATGGTACCTAAGAGTAGCATAACCATTTTTTTCTATTTACAAAATCTTAGCCATCTGTAAAAGCACAACAACTGATCTGATGTTTTAAACCAGGAAGATCCCAAGTTAACTCTAAGTCTGTGGGTAGAATTATATCATTTACTGTTCCCTGACTCTAAACTGTACCCCTTATTTGGATCAAGGTTTGTGCAAACTCAGCATCATGGTCAAGTCAGAAGGTTAAAAATACTGATAGCAGAGAACAGTTCTCTTCCAAGGTACACCTCAGAATATCATGCACTAGAAGGGGTCTAAATGGGAAAGGGATCCCTATTTGCAGGAAAGAGGGGTGTCTTCAATGATCTCTCCAGTAGTACCCTATATACAGCAATTCTACCTAACCTTCTCAAAGGAAGATTGCACATTCCTATTTGCATTGCTGATTGCTGGGATTCATGGGAAAACAAGAGCCAATGTGGCAAAAGAGTATTTGTCTAAGGTCATACAGCCAGAGTTATCATGTCCCGTGTCTTTTGCTATTCAGAGCAAATAGCAGAGGTTTGTCATCAATTTCTTGAAATATCATTGTTAGCTTAAAAACAGTCTGAGCTTGTTTGATTCCCAGTTTTCTGTGTACAAACTGCATTCACTTTTTTCAGTGCTGTTGTTCCTTCAAATAGTTGTCAAAAGAATGGTTGTAAATCAAGGACTACCTGTAACCTCACATGGATCAAATTCTTCCATGGTTTTGAATAATTTCTTGTTGTGAAATTAGAAGGGACCCTTAGATCACATCCCTAGTTATTAGCAAAAAATACTAGTGATATTCATATTAAGGAACGTATTTTCTTTTCTTTGAAGTGAATGCGATGTGACTGTCCTCATTGATCTTGACTAATTAAGAATGGTTGTACAATATGTAAACAATCCTGCAATCTCTCTTCTGCTGTGTTATTGCCCTAATCTACAGGAGGCCGTGTGTTTATGAATCCTCAGGACTGTGCCCAGCATTTGATCAATGGCGACAATTTGAGTGGCATTTACACCATTTCCCTTAATGGGGATCTCAGCCAGAGAGTACAAGTATACTGTGATATGACTACAGATGGTGGTGGATGGATTGTAAGTGAATAAATAATGCCACATGTTATCTAGTTCGGTTATCAGAGGTAGAAGAAAATGAATGCATCTAGTCTAGCCTATAAATGATACCACTTTTGTGTAGTGAAACTTCTCACTTTACAAATACCAATTTATGTTTTGAATGTTTGGCAAAACAACTATATTTGTTCATTTTTTTCAAAATTCTTTCATCTCTTCATGTTTAAATTAGAGATTGCAGAGCAAAGCTTTCTGAAAAGACTCTTAAATCATGAAAAAAAAAAACCATTTTAGTCCATCAGAGGATTTGAGGTGATTAGCATGAAACTCTAAGGGTTTAGAGTTGGTATAGAACAAGTGGATGGAAAAATTTATATCAATGCCCATTTTAAATGCTGGTCTCCAAAACAAAACTTATTTGGGAAAGCAAAGGTGGGAGGGGTCTTACAGGTACTTAATGTACATTTTACCTGAATGAAAGTTCTTAGATAAAAGATGTAAAGCAGGAACAAAAAATATGAATCAAACATCAGAATGTCTTGTTGAGATATTCTATTTTCCATGCCCTGAGGACTAGGTTAATAATAGTTACAATCAGGTTCTTTGTGATTGGTTTTACACTGAAACTCCTTTTGGGAGTGAAGCTGCAACTGATTCATGGTTCTATCAAGGAAATTAATCAACAGTGAAATTTCCATGTTCACTGCTCGATATATTGCAGCTGGAGGGAATGTGCGTACCCAGGATTAACCTGTGAGATGATTTAATCTCAAAAGGAAATGTGTTTCATTTTTAATCAAGGTATGGGCAAAAGGCCTTATTGCTGATATTTTCATTTCATATGTAGGAGATAGGAGATTACACACATACAAACATACTCACACATAAACATAATACACATAACAGGATTAGATTGCAGTCAATACTGTGTATTAGCCATCTTCAAAAGATAGATCAGAGATAGCAAAAGTAACAATAAACCACTCACATACTGTAAAACCAAGTAAAGCCCTAAAATTCAAACATTTCTTACATAACTTGCATGAAGAAAAATGCATTCCTACTCCATCCATTTCAAAGCTTGCTTATTCAATTTCATATTCAAACTTTCACAGATAAAGCTGCCCATGTTTCAGGCTGGAGTGAATTTCACAATTGGCTTAAAATAAAATAAAAACTCCTACTTTTGTTGCTTTCACAGCTGAACAGAAATAGTTTAGGTTCCATCTAGCACAGGGGTCTTCAAACATGGCCCTTTTATGACTTGTGGACTTCAACTCCCAGAATTCCTCAGCCAGCATGCCTGGCTGAGGAATTCTGGGAGTTGAAGTCCATAAGTCATAAAAGGGCCAAGTTTGAAGACCTCTGATCTAGCATATCATGTTGATTCACTTGAGAAGTTGTCCAACAGTATATCTAGAAATCATCCCTGATTTCCTGAAAGAGTTGGGGGGGTGGAATCATATTTCAGATGTTTATAGAAATTCTGGTATAGCAATAAAGATAAAAAGGGATAATAATCAACATTCAGTATTAAATATTCATATCTTCGGGACTATCTCCTTCAACCAGAATTAATCTATCTAATATAAACTATATGGAGAAAATTGCTCATAGTTCCCTCTACCACCATTACAACGGCTGAGGCTAGGAAGAGATACTTCTCTCTTAGGGCAAGCCACAGGAAGACAGCTTGCCCAACCATTCCAGTCTTCTAGAAGTTGGTCAAATTCAAACTGTTCCAGAAGATTTTTGGTTAATTAATTAATATAGCTTGACTGAATAACATGTTTGTGTGTGTGTACCTCCCCCCCTGAGATTTCATCCTAATTTCCTTCATTCTGTAGCCTTTTTAATCATCTAAACCAGTGGTTCTCAATGTTTGTGTGACGGCGGCCCCCGTCACACAAACGTTCTGTGCATGCGCGGCGTGGCGCGCACGGGGGGTGGGCCCACGCATGCGCAGCGTGCATGGGGGTGGGCCCGCGCATGCGTGGCGCGCATGGGGCAGGGGGCGCCCGCATGCGCGGCGTGCATGCGCAGCGCGCATGCGCAGTGGCACCCCATGCGTGACGCGCATGTGCAGCGCCGCCCCCTGAGGAGAGAAAATGGCGGATCGCCTTCTTTGGCGACCCCCGAAAAATGGTTGATCGACCCCAAATGGGGTCGCGACCCATAGGTTGAGAACCGCTGATCTAAACTATGCCACTAAATCATTTTCTTTCTTCCACAAAAAGTCCATAAGGGGTTTCCAGGCTATTGATTAATGTGAATCAAAAAAGTCAGTTTGTCCATCTCAGTAAGTTCTGTCACTTCCACCAATTATTCCTCCATAATGGGCAATGCCAAATTTTTCCATTTTCCCACACAGTTTTTTTTTTTACTGAAATCAATGGTTTTACTTTTTTCACTTGTGTTGTCGTATTGTATGCAAACTGTCTGGAGTAAAAAAAAATGCAGTGGTTTAAAAATCTGGTAAATAAATTCTTGCACTGAATGTAAGGAAAGTGTATAACCAGTTCAGAAACTCCCTGTAATTTCTTATGACTATTTTAAACTCATCAATTTTTTCCCTTTGAAGTTTTCTCTTAGAAATGTCACACATCTTCCTGCAAGACATATTGCAAATCTTCTCATTCCCTACAGCAGACATGTCAAACACAAGGCCCGCGGGCCAGATCCAACCCGCCATGTGGTTCTGTCTGGCCCAGGGACCTGCTCTGGAAACATCTAAGGATTGGCACATGGCAACTTGGCCCAGCCCAGGCTGACTGGGCACTAATCTACAACCTGTGCCAGCCATCAAAGCCAGAACATGCTCAGCCTTAGATCCACGGGGCAGCCCTGGAACCAACGATGGAGCGCCCCTGCCCTGTGCCCTGGGCACACGTACAAGTAGAGTCTGGCATCCCTGCTGAATGTCTTGCCCCGCAGGCTGACTTCACCCAGGATGGTGGCGCTGGACCTCTCCTGTGTGCACACCCAGGGGATGGGGCAGAGGTGGCGGGGCAGCTCCTCGCTGATTCCAGGGCTGCCCTGTGGATCTAAGGCTGAGCATGTTCTGGCTTTGATGGATGCAACCAGGTTGTAGATTAGCACCACCCCTCCCTCCCACCAGCACCTCCATGACCTGCTCGCTGACCTAGCCTTGCAGCCACGAGGCTTCCCTTTTGCCAGGACCTGCCCTGCCCTGCCCACGTGGGATAGCGATGGCCGGCAGCGGCATGGACACCCTCCTGTCACCCCTTCCTGAGCGCGGAGGAAAGAAAGAGATGAGATGAAGGAAGGGAGGGAGGAAGGGAAAAAGGAAGGAAGGAAGGAAGGAAGAAAGGAAGGAAGGAAGGAAGGAAGGAAGGAAGGAAGGAAGGAAGGAAGGAAGGAAGATTATAATGAGAGGGAGGAAGGATCTGAGGGAAATCCTGCCTTAGCACATGGCCACGAGCAGCCCTGCTACCCTTCCGCCCTCCCCTTGTCCCCTCCTCCTGATCTCTCCTGGTGGTCTCCCATCCTATCGCTGAGGATGCTTTGGATTCAAAGCCGGGTCTCTTCCCCTTTGACCCACACATTTTGCCTTCCCGCACACACCATGAGCAACTTGGCCAAGGAAAGTGAGCCAATCAGCAGCAGGCTTGAGGAGGGAAGCGCAGCCGGGTGCCCCCTTGGGAAAGGCTGGGCTCCGGGAAACTCACATCACTGGGAGTCCTCTGTATGGCCTGAGAGGGACAGCAAGGCTCCTGTGATGGACAAGGGTATAATGTTTGTCCTGGTCTCACCTTCCTCCGCTGGACACAATGGATCCCCCAGTCCCGCCCAGGCTACCACAGGTGTCCCCCAACATGAGCAATGTTGAGGTGGCCATGCCCATGCCCACCTCACTCACGCCCACCCCCACTATGCCCACCCCAGCTACACCCATCCTGGCCCCCCAAGATCAACTACAACCCTGATGCAGCCCTCAATGAAATCGAGTTTGACACCCCTGTCTTACAGTATCTTTCACCTTGATCTTTCCTTGCAGGTCTTCCAGAGAAGACAGAATGGACTGACTGATTTCTTTCGCAAATGGGCAGACTATCGCATTGGCTTTGGAAACCTGGAAGATGAGTTCTGGCTGGGTAACAAATCGCTAACTTTGTTTTTCACTGACACTGCCTATGGAGAAACTAGATATCTGCTCATCATAGCATCTGAAAACATATACACATCTTCTCTGTGTCTCCTCTTCTCCCCAATCACCCATTTTAATCATGGTTTTCTCTGCCTCAACAAATAGTTTGGTTGGCTTGCCAGCTTTATTCATTTTTTGTTCTGATTTTTATTAATGACAAACCACATGCTATGAAGGCACATAGAATGGGTTCTTCGCTTCTACCTTATTTTGCAGGTAACATGGCAATCCAAATTGCCCTTTTGCCTCCATAGAATGTGTTGATCAAATTCTTTGTTCAGATGACATGGAATCATTGTGTTCTACACATGTACTTTTAATTGTATCACATGCAGTTATATAGCATTACAGTATCTGCTGAAAGAAAAGCCTACACCAAGGAGTTAATTGTGCATTAAGTTTATATTCCTTCCAACAGGCAATTGTACAGGAATATACTTCCTAGCCCTACCTTAGTGTATTATAAGGAAATATCAATAGGACATAATTAAATGAATTCCTTTACTACAGAGGACTCTGTTCTTCTGTGACAGACTATATACTACATTAAACAACAACATCCCCCAAGAAAGATGCTAATTCCTAATCCAGCTGCATTCTATAAAAATAAAGATTCTCTCAAACTGAGTCTGACTCAAGGTATCTATACAGATATGGCTATATACATTTTTTGTCAGTAATGCACAAGAGTTTCCCCCTCCTCCCAGATTCCCAGTTTACCCTGCAGCCTTTGGATTTCCTAGTGATTTCCCTTCCAAGTCTTAATCAGGCTCAACACTGCCTTAGAAACAACCAAGATCAAGTAGATGCTGCCATCTGCTGTACACAAATGTTCAGTATCCATTTAGCCTAATACATATGCCTGGATGTGTGGAGGAGAATTTAAGATTTGATGTATTAGCTATTCCTCTTCCATAAAACAAAGAAACAAATTGGCAAACTTATTTAATCATGAAAGATAGCTCTAATTCTCCCTTTTACCAACAACCATAGTTTTTAATTTATGACTGTAGTATTCTGGATGGGCATTTTGGTAAAAAAAAATGTACTTCATTTTTCACTTCATTGTCTCCTTTAGACCTGTGGAAGGAAATTATTAAGGAGTCACACTATTCCTTTTCTATGCCTGGAATAGCAGAAAAGAGATTCTGCTGTTTATGTTTCTTCATTTCATTGAGGTAGCAGGATTTTGCTCTTTAACTTGCTGTCAGATTTCTTTGTCTCTCCTAGAAGATTAAAACATATGGCTCCTTGACCTCTCCCTCAACATTTCTCACCCATTCCCAGAAAAAACATCTGCAAATCCATCTGAGAGGGAAAACACTGGGAGAGAGAGAGAATAATAACCTCTGTGTTAAAGGGGCAGGATGGGAGAATCACTAGAGAATTTTTCAGCATAGTCATGAATTTCAGTGAGGGAAACATTCAGAACAGATTATTGGAATAAATTGGTTTAAGATAAGTGTAATGATATTCATTAAATAATCTCTATGCCCCAAGGATTTCATGATCTTGGAAAATTCATGGATGTGTATGCTGATCAGTTCCCCATATAAGATGAGGATATCAATAGCAGTCGGGCAAAAACAGCTTGACATACAGCATAAAGAGCTTTCTATAACCATCATGAAAGGTTTCTGGATGTGGTAAAGAAATAAACTATCCCTTCCTCAAAAGGCTAGGCCAGTGAATCAGTGGTGTTGCTGTTTTTAATAGTCATTCTATTGTAAAAGCAGCCTTCACACCCATACAGCAAGTTCATCAAGTTGGCTTTGGAAGAGGTTTCCAAATCAGATACCCAGTGTGCTTATTAACATATAAATAAAATAGTAACCTGCTATAAAAAATATTGTAGAGACTTATTTGGATCTTTCAAAGGAGACTAGTATCTTTAGCACAACCAATGAAATATTTTTACATTTTATTGGGGTTTTTTTTCATAAATACTTTCCTGAATACAACAGTATAATAAATGATAAAATATAACCAAATAGACAGAAATACCATCTGAAATATGAATTCCATTATTCATTGCTTACAGATTTCTAGATACAAGGTCTTATAAAATCTCTGTTTATGTTCTCTCCAGGGCTAGATAATATGCACAAGATCACATCACAAGGGCGCTATGAACTGTGGATAGATATGAGAGATGGTCAAGAAACAGCTTATGCCTATTATGACAAGTTTTCCATTGGAGATGCCAGGAGTCTCTACAAGCTCCGGATAGGGGAATATAATGGCACTGCTGGTATGCCTTTAAGAATTACTCCTCCCATCCCAGACTATCTCAACAGGTCTTCTTACGGAGCAGGGAGAATGAAGGATGGGGGAGAGGGGAAGGAACTACTTCTTTGACATCACTCCCATTCATTCTCTCCTTCAGAATAACAGAATTGGAAGGGAGGTCTTCTAGTTCAACGCCCTGCTCAAGCAGGAAACCCTATACCATTTCAGACAAATGGTTGTCCAATCTCCTTTTAAAAATCTCTAGTATTGAAGCAGCCACAGCTTCTGGAGGCAAGTCATTCCACTGGTTAATTGTTCTGTCAGGAAATTTCTCCTTAGTTTTAGGTTTTAGTTTTCATCCATTGCTTCTTGTCCTGCTTTGGTGCTTTGGAGAATATGTTGACCCCTCCTTTTTTTGTGGCAGCCCCTAAGATATTGGAACACTGCTGTCATATCATTGTTAGTCCTTCTTTTCTCTAGACTTGCCTTACCCAATTCCTGCAACCATTCTTCATATGTTTTAGCCTCCAGTCCCCTGATCATCTTTGTTGCCCTTCTCTAAAAAATGAGCTTGCGGGCAAAGGGAAAGGGAAAGGGCAGATTTGAACTGCGACTGGGAGAGGAAAGAAGGGGGGTATTAGGGAGAGGAAAAGCAAATGTGTTGATGCTCACACTGAAGGCTGCTGCTGTCAGCCCTTTTTTTTTCTTCTTTTGGATCCTTGTGGCGGAGTGGGGACAAATGGGTCAATCCTAGGAATCCCCAAGGAATCTTTCATTGACTGGCCAGGAAAATGCCACTAGACCAATTAGGAATTCTTTCTGGCTGAGTAAATAGCCCCAGAGAAATTTGCGACCCCTTTTAAAATGAAGCCCCCAAAGAGCCCCGAGTTGATCACTTCTCCTTCCAGCCCTGAGCATTTGGCAAGGCCGGAGACGAAGGACCGGTACCTGGATGTCAGCAGAGCACCTGGCCCTCCCAGTGGACGTGCTTGGAAGAAATGGCTGGGGTGGTGGGCCTTCTCTCACAGATGCACCATGCTTTAGGCCTGGATCTGTGCAGGGAGTACCCAGGAGTGCCATGCTTGCTTCACAGCTTGGCCAATGAGTTGCTGTGGCTCCAGGCTCTGGCTGACCCCAGCCTCGAGGACATCTAATTTGAGAAGATTCAAATTTAAAGCAAGACAAGGCCCATGGCAATTCTCTTGTCTCTCTCTTGAATTGTTCTGCATTGATTTGTCCTGCAGTGAGTTGTCCCAGTTGGCCGGGGTGAGATGGCCAGGGCAAGAGAGCCAGAGCGAGTCGGCTGTGGCAAGTTGTCCTAGACCCCTTAACATTCGCATATCAAATTGATTCCATAATCAATTTCTATAGAACAAATTCTATAGAAAGTAATAGTAGGTTTTTTTTAATTTTAAAAAGTTTAATCAGTTGTTCCAGTACTTCAGCTGTCTCAAAAGCTGAAAATGCTACTCATTTAACAGTGCAGTCCTTAAGGATCCTAAAAACCAGTATAAAATATACATATGTATTAGAGCAAGATGTGTATTGGAGGATGTAGCCACCTACTCTGAAAGCTACTGTTTTATGCCAAAATGTTCAGCTGTCCTCTCTTCCTAAGAAAAATAAATAGCCAAGTGCTATCTGTTTACAGTACAGCCGTGGTGTCCCATTACAAGCCATTTATGCAACAATTCGTTCTTATAATCCTGATGTTGCCACTGTTTAATTTGGTCCAATTTCCACGACTGCACAGAAGATCAACACTGTTTTATATGGGCTGATACTCTGTTCATCATGGTACAATACTTGAGCCACCTAACAATCTTATTTCAGTTGCCAAGAGGCAGAAAAACTACTATAGAAATGGTTGTGACACAGAAGGATAAGAAAGATACAGAGTTAGACTGTGTTCCCAGGAGATTTAAGTAGCTCCATTTTGTCATCTTTGGTGGAAATTTTTGTAGGACTCGGCAGTCATTTCTAACTATATTATGTCACCCTTCAAAATATTAGATTCATCTCTAGTCTTCTTAAGACTACAGAAAGAAAAAAATATTAGCTGTAATTATTATTATATGATTCACACATATAAGTACAACCCTTAGCAAACATTGTTTGATGATGGTCACCTGAGCACATGAAACAAAACAGATGCTGTGAAGATATTTAAATTCTTAGCTCCGGAATCAGATTGGGATAGTCCACTTTACTATAGTTCTTGGGTATTATTGTAGTTCTCAGGAAACCAGCATGGATATATCAATCCTTTGTTGTCCCTTCAAGAGAAAGATGGAAAAAATTAAGGTGATGCCTTATTTTGCAGGGGATTCACTCAGCTATCATCAGGGACGTCCATTTTCCACCAAAGACAGAGACAATGATGTTGCCGTTACAAACTGTGCTATGTCATACAAAGGGGCCTGGTGGTATAAAAACTGCCATCGAACTAACCTCAATGGCAAATATGGCGAATCCCGACACAGCCAGGTAAGAGCAGGATGGATACAGTACTGTTTGCAAGACCCTATTCTTCCGAAAAGGTTATAAGAGTGAGTGATAAGCCAGACAGTTCATCATTTACATAAGGCAGGGATCAAATTAAATAGTAGCATTGATTATGTTACCTAGTTTGGGTACATCTGCAAGAAAAGAAGCTCAGAGAGCACCAAGAACCCCTCATAACTAATAACAAATGGCAGTTTACATTTTCACCAAATGCCAAAAGCTTTTTTAAAAAAGCAACAACAACAATAATAATAGCAAATAACATCTATGGAGAAGAGAGACTCATCTGGCTCTCACCCCAATCTACATCATTTTCTTCCAGCCCAAATATTTACTGATGGTGCCATTGCAGCAAAGTATAGGCTACCTATAGTTGGAAAGCAACATGCCATAAAGCAAAAACCCTAGTATGGAAAAAATGTTACCAGTATGGTCAGGGCTTACCTTTTCCCCATGCCTGGGAATTGTTACTAATACTATTGTTGTTGTACTAATACAAATACTTATTTCCTAAAAATTACGTAAGAGCTTTAGGAAACTGTTTTAAAATAAATAAAGATTATATTTAAAAAACAGAGAATAAGGCAAAAGTTTGGAAGAATTAGAATTCTGCACTGCATTAAACCACAGTCCAGGTAAAATATAAGTTTGAATATACAAATTCCTTTTGCCATAAAAGGATATCCCTTGTAGAGAATTAAACAAAGCAGAAAAAAAGTCTAAATATTTTAAATGCACTAGTAGTCTGCATGTTGAGGAGATATATATGGAGAAAAAAATTAAAAAGTTAAGTGTCTTAAGATTGAATTTGGTTATGGATGGAATGTTTATATCTTGTTTTGCTTAGTTAATTCTGGTTCTTACAAAATAATAAAATTATATGCATTCTGGAGTGGTAATAACAACTAAAATAACAAGCCCTAATTATCTCTTATCCACCTCAGATGGCTATCCTTATTTTCTACTTACAGATTATATATAGTAAATAAAAATATAATCTTTTTATCTGCGGCCCAAAGTGGACTTTTGTTTGACACCTCATTCTTCACAATATTTATGCTGAAATGTTTTGGTATTACCTATGTGTTGATATTACAGCCATAAGGGTGAGGATGGCTAGACAAGTTTCATAAAATTTTTGTCATTGTTATAAACAGCTCCCACTCATATTACTGGGATATTTTGGCTTGAAAGAGTGTGATATATTTGCATCTAATAACTGGAAAAAGGTACTGTGCAAGTGATTCCAAGCATATTGATCCCTTTTCCTTTCTTTGACCCTCAGGGTATTAACTGGTATCATTGGAAAGGACATGAGTTCTCCATACCTTTTGTGGAAATGAAAATGCGGCCGTATAACCACCGCAACTCCCTGGGGAGGAAACGCCGATCAGTGCAACTGTGAAATGGCAGGAATCCTTCGGGACATGCAGTCCTTTCCTGTCATGAATTTGTATTTTACAATATGAAAAGAACAAAAGTAAAACTGAGGTAGAAGCCTGCTCCATGCTGAGGGCTGAGGAACACCATGATACCCCAGAGGGCTGACTAACGTTGATAAAAGAACAACCATAATGCTTGCTATCATTCCTAGGAAACTATTGGGCTCCTGCCCAGCCCCACTTCTTTCAGTTTTCATTCCATTCCTTCTTGAAATTATTAGTCAATGGCTTTATTTAAGGTCTTTGTCGTAACCCAGTTTCTGCTGTTGGTTATGGCCACCAGATCTGAGCAAAAATACAAGTGATCGCTAGAGGACAGAAAGAGTTAGCATTTTCTCTCCCTCTTTTTTTGCGATCCAGATTTTTGCAATCTAGATCTCTTGGCCCTGCTCGGCCCTGTTGTAGATGCTTTCTTTTATATGCAAGCCTGCTTTACCAGAGGGTACCGAGGGGGAGGTGCTCAAAGAGCTATTTTTAAAGATATTTGGACCCGTGCAGCTGCATGATGGAAGCAGAATTCTTCACAATGATGTCTATTGAGTCAGCATGAGGCCATCTGCCAGGAAGAGGAGACAAATTATAGCTATTTATTTCAACTCATGTCGATCCCATTTTTTCCCTGAGCAGGCAACAAAGATATACATAGAGCCCCATACACACACTTACGTATACAAACAAACATATGCATATACACATACACAAACATATACATACACATAAATAAGCATATATAATTCCTAAAACAGTAACCTTCACATTCATAAATCAGCTTATAGATATGAGTGCTGCAGACATACTCACTCTGAATTCTGTTTGGAAGCAAAGTCCTCATTTCTAGATTGTTCTCACTCCAAATTGTTTTGCCTTATTTATTAGAGGCTAAGTTAAGGAAAGGGATTGGTGGATTTCCCTGGCTTTGTTTCCCTTCCCACCCAGTGTCATCACCAATTAGTCTTCCTAGTAAGGATGGAATGAATTAGGGCAATTTTAGAAGGACGCCTAAAACAGTACATTGAGCCATCAATCAAGTTTTCTGCCTAGCAAATGGTTGGTGCTAAAGAGTGGGGAATGGGGTAAAGCAGACAGGTGTTTCCCCAGTGTTCCTCATAACTCCCTCCTCTGTGTCTATGATCTCTCAGCCCTCACCCATGTTCAAAAGTAGCCCAGCTGACTCATAAAAAGCAAAAAGGGTTGCACAGAGTGGAGAAGGGAACAGTAATGAGTGAGATCCAGTGAGTAAGATTCATCTTTATCTAATGCTGCAAAGGAGTGGTAGTGCTGGCAGCAAATGGCCAAGGAGTACACTTCTGACATCATGATAGGCACTGAAAATTAGGTGGTAGTTGGGCACAGAGAACACACAACTGGAATTGACCCACATATAATAACAGCATGTAATCCAGCACTGTCAAATCCAGAATGGAATGGGCAGAATTACACAGCCATCCCCACTGCCACCAGAGGCTACATGAGGTTACAAGAACTGTGACTGCAGCATATCAGTCCCCAAAGGGCAAGGCAACAATTGTAGCATATGTGCATGTCCTCAGAAATCATAAAAACAGCAAAAACTGAAAAATACACAATAACTTTAATTGAAATCTTTTTTTTTTTTAGTAGATATAGGGGGGAAAGTCTGTAATACATCCAGTGATGACTAGAGCTGGCAGAAATCTGTTTCCCAGTTTATATTGATCTTATTTGCAGCACAGAACTAATTCTCCTCCAAGAGACCACTACACCCAAGCTATAAAAGAGGTTTAGCACTCTTGCACCAAACCATATTTACAAGGAGCCACTAAAAGATCTGGCAAGCAGAATAGAAAGTGCCAATCCAGCATTACATTGAAAGATGCTTACAACCAGAGCCAAAATGGCCGTAGACAGCAGTGCTAAACAACTATAGAAGAAGGGCTGTGCTCACTGCAGCCTATAGTGATTAGTAGGGGTTGGAGTGATCTTGATCTCAGCAACCAAATGGTCAGTGAAGGGTGCCAGAAAGTATCCATGACAGAAACTGTCAGGAGAACAGAGAGGTCTATTTTAATACCAGATGGGCAAAATATGGCAGAAAAAAAGGAGTAACCAATGCTATAACTTGGAGGAAATGAAAGCAAGACTTAAAAGGGCAAATTCTTTATATAATTACTTGCAACTATATAGTTACAGCATGACCACCAAAAGACAAATATTGTCCTCCTTTGTTGGGGAATATTGTTCACTTTTGAGAATAATCTATGGAAGCTAAATGTAGCTGTTTCTTTATTTTCTTTAAGAGAGAGAAGCAGGTGGAAATAGGAGTTAAGAGTTTATCTGAACCAGCTTCTGGGACATGTATTTATCCAGTGGTGGGATTCAAATATGTGAACAACCAGTTCTCTGTGTGGATGCCACTTCCAGAAGTCTATTCTGGGCCTGGGCAACAAAAATTAGCTACCAGTTCTGTCGAACTGGTGCAAACCGGCTGAATCCCATCACTGTATTTCTCTTAACACATTTTTCCCACATACCTTCCCAGTCAAATATCTCCAGACTTCTTTCAGCCTATGGCAGTTGCAGCCTCAGTCATAAAAGCCTCCATTTGTGTTTTTCTTTAAAAATAAAATCCCCATAGTATAAATAATAAAACCTTAACATAGATGTCTATCTTTTCTATCATGGTCCATGACCTGTCTTCCTTCATAATACCAAGTGGGGAGGGGGAAATCCACACATGTATCTCTTAAACATAGAAAACGGGCATAATAAATTGGAGCTTATCCTGCCCCAGAGCCTTGTGTGCATATAGGATCTGTGGGTTGGTTAGGCATATAGGCACATTCAAGTGAATCTCCATTTGTAGGTTGTACAAGTTTCAGTCTTTGTCCTTTTCTATAAAACTGAAGTCTAATTAGATGGGCAGACCTTAATCTAGTCCATTTCAAACACTTGTGAATTCTTCTACATGCATGTGCTGACCAATTCCCTGAACTGGTTCTTGCCCCTGCCCATAGCAGTTAACTGTATCTCCTCCATAACTGCAAAACTGATCCATTAACTCACAAACCATTGTATAAATCACTGTACCCCCCACATAGAAGTATCTGTTCCCTCTTAACATGAGTTTGTATTAAAGATTGTAACTGCAGAGTGAACCAACACAAGTTAGTGACATTTTCGAAAACATTTCAACAGAATATGCATCTATAAATGACCTTTAGAAATCAAATAACAGAATTTTAAATAAATAAACAGGAGCATGGGAAACATCTAAATTAACAGCAAAGATACTGAAGGTCAGTGAATGAATATGTTCTTTTGATTTGGCTGTGAGTTTATTACTGTTGGGCAACAGCATAACAGGTAAAAAAAGCCACTATTGGGGAAAGAAGGAAGGAAGGAAGGAAGGAAGGAAGGAAGGAAGGAAGGAAGGAAGGAAGGAAGGAAGGAAGGAAGGAAGGAAGGAATTTTTTTCAAAGAGTAGAATAGCACACAACAACCATCTAGTGATGCAATCAAGAATATATGGCATGGAATCAAGGAAGGAACTGTCTCCCCTTTACTTTAGATTAGGCAAACTACTTTATGAGTCACTAGGTTTGCATAACTGACCACAAGCAAGTAGGAACAGTAAAACTATCATACTCATTGTTTTAGGGAACATTTGTTCTAAAGCCCAGTACAGTGTATGTAATAAAAAAAGTAGAAACATAATCTAATTTACAGAAACTTTTTAACTACCCTATCTGCCCAGCAAGTTTTAGATTTCAGATGGAATATTGTAATCCTTTGGTGTATGTCATCATCATCTCCATCACCATCATCATCCTCTATTAATCCAATGAATATCATTAGACTGGGTTCTTTCAAATGGTTAGGTTTTACCAAGAGCCTAGAAATCATAGAAGTATTGTCATATTATGTAGAAAGTTCCCAGCAAGGTATTTTGTTTTGTTTTGGCAAAGTCAATGGTATTAAGTCGTATACATTTAAAACCATTACATATTTGGTGAATTCTTTAATATGTCTCCAACAGTGCAAACATTGGATTTTTTTTCTTCCAAAGTCATTCACTGCAATTTGCAAATCATATTATTTTGTTACTTTTTCCATTTGTTTTTCAAATTTGTTCAACTATCTCCTTTGATTGCTACATCTACAGAATATTTCTTCTTCTTAGTAATAATAATGTGTTGCCTTTCAAGAGTGTACTGGTCTGTATTTATAATTCACACAATCCTGTCTTCATTTTCTAAGGCTTTTTCAAGTTTATGATCCCATAGTTTTTGTGAAACCAAATGTTTTACATAAATTCCAGTGCAAAATTTTTGCAACTCTTATCATGGCATAGATTATATACTCAATTTGGCCTAGTTCTGCTAAGCCACTCATAAGGTATTCTTTGATCTTACACAGTTAGTAATTGCTATCATTTGAAATATGTTCAGTTTTGGCATTAATGATTGCTTGCATGCTGTGTTTTTGAGCTGCTGTAATTATTGTTCAGTTTCATTTTAAGAATTTCAGTTTTCAGTCACTGCCAACTCAAATTTTGGTTTTATTTTCTTTCAATATCATACTGAGTATGAAGAGGTTTATATTTCCAGGCATTAATTGGGTTTTACAAACTTCTACCAGTAGTGATTTCTTTTTGTGCCTGATATAATCATTCAGGCCGTATTTCTCTTCTACCATTGTTTGCTTTACTTGGAGTAATACCCTCCCACCTTTATTTCTGCCAATTCCACTTCCTTTGTGGAAAGCATGATTCATGTTCATTAATTTTCTTGGTTGTTTTTTTTAATCAAGTATGTCTAATTCAGCTTGAGCCCAATCAATTATACCCACACTATATTGAATAGCAAGAACAGCCCAAGTGTTTATGGCTTTAATTATATTCCCCATGCTTAATTTTGTTTTCAATTTTTAAAACTTGTTTGATATAATCAAAATTAATATTTTTTTTAATTTGCTCAAGTAGTAAGAAAGAAGCTTCCATTAATCCTAATATTTCAAACCTTCTTCTGATGCCAATTGTTCCATGTCATTTGTATTAATTAGCTATAATCAGTCTTCTTTAACAATTTTTAAGGTGACCAACTTTTTTACAATGAAAAGGAGGACACAAATAAATTGAAGAAAAAAATATTGTAAATAAAAGAAACATTTTATTCATTGCAACAATAATACAGACAACTTGCATGTGCAAAGTTTGCCAGCCGGGTGTTTTGGCGCACTCAGCAGCAATTCCTATTGGCTTTCCAAAGGGGGAGTAGCCCAGCTCATGCAAAAGTTGAAAAAAAAACCATCAAAAAAAGATGCCGGAACGCTGTTCTGAGCATTCTATGAGAAAAAAAAAGCCCTGCAGATTAGTCTTCAAATATCGAAAAGGAGGACATGTAGGAGGACACTTTTGGAGGGAGGACAGAACTTATAAAAGGAGGACTGTCCTCCCTAAAGGAGGACAGTTGGTCACCTTACAATTTTGCTTCCTTCAATCTTCAAATTGCACATTTATGTAGACAAAAGTGCATTCCTATATCCTTGCTAAATATATAGACTTGTCTCCAGTAGAGATTCAAATTTCCTTTGCATTTTCGAATAACTTTAGGTCATCCATTCATGGATTATTTTTGGATTTTGTTTTAAAGTTGCTTAAATTATGTGAAGATAGCATTATTGCTAAAACTAATAGTGAATGTGACAATAACTAATATGAGAACATTCTCCTAATTTTAACTAATTGTGTCTGGATACAACATGATGAATCAGATTGCTTCCAGGGTGGCAAAGAAGTGAAAAAAGACTGTGTATTTTTTTCCTTTTTTATTCAAACTTTATGCTGATTGAAAGGTGAGCATTTGAAGGCTTTGGAAAAAATATTCAGATGCCACAATGTATGTATACCTACAAAGGTCAGAATTATGCAAGCCATAGGATTTTCTTTTTGTTCCATTTTATTGAAAGCAAAAATTAGAGTTGAAGAAGCAGAATAGAAAGAACATTCGTGTTGGAGAAGACTTATGCAACAGATAGCCAAGGAAAGAAACAAATGGATCATGGAACAAATCAATCCAGAATTCTCATCTGAGTCACAAATGACCATAATGGTCATATTAAGTGAAGACACATTTCCTTGAAATGTCCACAGAGCTGGGAAAGGTGAAAATAATAGGGAAAAAAGAAAAACCAGCAGCAAGATGAATGAACTTGATTTCAGTGCCAGTGTGTGTACCACAAGGTGATCTGAAAAGCTAAGCTGGTGTCCATCTATGTGGTTGCTAAGAACTGACACTGATACATTATTAATTATTCAATTTTGACTTTGCCAATAAACTTCACTGTTGGCTATTAGATTTATTTCATTCATTCATCAACACTTTAAAGTTTTATTAATCCCGAAAATGTCTAGGCATTTTCTAGTCCACGTACATAGAAGTGAGGCAAGCAGTTTTTCATAGTCTAACTGAGCAATAAAAAACTTCTATTTGAGTTTTTAATTAATCATCTTGTCAATTAATCTCTGGTCTTGCATGCCTTGTGAATTTTTAAAAGTTCCATCTTGCTAAAAAGATAAAGCGCAACTTAAATCTCGTGGAAGCAAGTGATAGGCCTGTGATGGTCAGGATTAGTGCCTTTCACTTTAGTTTTTCTCACATTAGAAAGATTCTTCCCACTGTCCATCTATTCTTCATTCTTTACAGTTTAGAGAAGCTTATTTAGCTGTGTGGCTAATCTGGAATGTATTTAATCCCCAAACTGTATACTTTATCCCTCCCTGGGTTCACTCTGAATTTTTATCCTTTTGGCTTGCAAGTAAAGAATTCAGTTGTATAATGACATCTTTCATTTGTTTTCCTTCAAATATGTTCTTCATTTTTTATTATTCCACCTGTCTTCTTATTATATTCTGCTTTATTTTCCCATGAAACCCTCCTAAACAAAATAATTTTCCTTTATCCAGTCTTGTAGTTGTTTCAAATATTTGCCCAATCACTATCAAGGTTTTTACAAAATAAATAAAATTTGTTTAAAATAAAACATTTTGCTTGAACTGTTTAATCCTATTTTATAATGCTCACTTTTCTGGGCTATTGCCATAATTCATTTCTTCACTTCTGAAACTTCTATAATGTTCTGCAGGCCAATGTTATACTGCTCTACAGCAGGGTTTTTCAACCAGTGGTACGGGTACCACCTGTGGTACATTGGCACCTGGCAGGTGGTACGCGACCATCCTAGAAAAGTGGTAGCGGGGGAGAGGAATGAGCTGAACCGGTGGCAGCACCGCACAAGACTGAGAGAGAGATGGCTGGAGCTGCAGGGCAGTCGGCTCAGCAGAAGAGCCAGGATCAGCACCAGGCTCCAGCTGGAGCTCGGCGCTGATCCAGGTGCTTCTGCTGAGCCCTGAAGAAACACCAATCAGCTGGAAAGCAGCACTGATCCTGGCACTTCTGCTGAGCCCAGAAGAAGCACTGATCAGGTGGAATGTTGCAGCATCTCCAGGGTCTTATGATTTACATTCAGATGCTTGGCAACTGATTCATATTTATGATGGTCACAGTGTCCCAGTGTCATGTGAAGTGACTAAAACCTGCTGCAACCACCCAGCAGATGGGGGAATAAATACCAAACACCCCCCCACCTCACCCCCGCTGCAAATCCTCAACAGAAATGCTCACAACAATGAAAACCTCGGACAGGAGGAAGAGCGCAGCCGGGCGCGCAGATAGGTGTCTTGCTCGGCTGTGCCTTGGGGGCACTTTTTTCAGTGCCATTTTAACTTCAAACAGTCACTAAGCGAACTGTTGTAAGTCAAGGACTACCTGTACTTATCACTTTTTTGGGTGGGTCATCAAATTTTTGACACTTGCTAGGCGACTGGTGGTACTCGGATGTTGCCATATCCTAAAAGTGGCACAATGGGTGAAAAGGTTGAAAAGCCCTGCTCTACAGGACTATGGTAGTTGTTTTTTAAGGCTGCACTATTTCAAATTCTTCAGGTGACTTAAAACTTCCTGAAGTTTTGTTCTCTTTTTGTTTACTTTTTTTCAAGTTTAATTTCCTTCACTAAATATCCTGGTTTATGGAATTCTGAAATAATATCTCTTTATTTTCTCTGTCATATTTTATGTTTGCTTATCATATCGTTATCTTGCAAAATAAATTGAAATCATTCCTTTTTATTTGCATTCAATGTGAAAATCGTACCCTTTGTAATTCTTCCATCTGAATTTTTATTATTCTTGCCAATTCATTCTGCCAATTAGTTAAGTAAAATTGTTCCAATTGTTCAATTATTTATTGTATTTCTTGGTCAAAGTATTCTTCTAAATTTTCTTCAACTGCATTTTCTATCATGCCTTCAGAGAATAAATTTGCCATTCTTTAGCTTTCATTAAATTTCACAAAAACTTTTTTTGTTATCTGCTCAATTGCTCCTAATTCTACTTCTGAGACAAGTTTGATTTTAAAGAAAAGATCACCTAATGTTCAACTAATCATATTAATCCATTATTTTTGTTCAATTGTATTTGAATTCAGGAATCACTGCTTCCACATTTCAACCATTCACTTCTAGAATGTTTAATAGTTAACTTTGACAAGAAATAATATTCCATGATGAATATTATGATTTTTTCCTTTTGCCATCCAACTGCATTGCATTCCCATATTCTAGTGCCCTAGGAGAGTAGACAGAGCCCTGTAGCACACTTGAAGCTGGGCTCTCAAGAACCATAGTGGCCAGCACAATCCTTGTTGACCTGTGTGATGACCAGCCTAGCATGGAAATCCATTTCTCTTGTTTTTACCTTTATTTTGCAGATACTTAGTTGGGTTTCTTAGTTCATATCTCTACTGGCTTGCTTGAAAATTATGGCAGCACAGTTACCTTTAGCATAATCTTCAGCATCAAATCATGTAACATCTCCACTGTGAAATGGTAACTTCCATGGGGGCTTATTATTACTACTACTACACTTTCTTACAGACTACGCATAGAGCAGCAAGACAGGAATTGTTAGAGCAGCAAGGACTAATAATTTCATCTATCTTTCCATAAAAGTACCCAGTGACAAAAGAAGACCAAGGATAGGATTATCCTTAATAGTTGTGTAAAACTAGGAATTTCAGCAGTACTCAATTTATCTAAAATTTTCTCTTCAGCACAATTCTTTAAGGTCCAGGGAGCCAGTTGTGTCTTGCATCAGACCACTCTACTTCAGTTATTTCTTGCAGTAAGACATACCTTCTAATATTTCAGCTGAGGCAGATTTTCCACGCAAAGGAATACATGCATGACATAAAGGAGATGAGCTACAATACTTTAGGTTGTTTGTACTAATTTTTCTCACAATAGTACATGAAACTGGCATCCACTAGTATCCTAAGGCACATCCATAATATCACCCCATAAAGATTACTTTCCTTTTAAAGACACAATTTTGCTTAATTGATCTTTCTTTGTACATGGTAATCTGGTAGCACTGGCACGGATAAGGAGGATTTTTTTAAAAAAAAACCTTCTAAATGCATGTTTATGTATACAATGAAGGTGTGTGACTTTTATAAAAAATCCTTGCAATAAGCTCCAGGTGGATAGTATCTTTTCCTATTCTTTATTTCTCAACCTCCTAACAGGCAGAACGGGCCAAAATTATTAAAATGAGAAATGCCCTCTCTAGCCAAAGGGAACCCTTTGTGATAAACCACTGTGACTCTGGAGTTTTCTGAGAATGCTTAAAACCCCCTTTTCTTTTTTATGTCCCTGCCTCGGAATTTCCCCCTTTTTTTCTCCTGTTCAGGGATGTCACTAAGTGCTCTGATGATGATTTTCTTTAACGCTTAGATCCACATGCCATGTAATCCAGTAATACGGCCTAAAGGCGGATGAAATGCTACATTGGTTCCGATATTGCTGTGTCTGAAAGAAAAGAGGGATGGGATGGGAGGAAGCTGGGGGAACTAGGACTAGATCAGCTGAGATTTTGAACTGTCTAAGGTTCTTATATTTGGGCTAGCCCCTCTTGCCAGAAGAGTTTTAAAAAGATGTTTTAAACAAGGGCCCTCTCCTTGGTGTAAATGTATAATTCTAGAACTGAGCTTATTCTCTGACAGAAGAAGCAAACGAGGTGAAGGCTCCCTCAGAAAGACTCAAAAGACTAAATCTTACCTGTGAACAAGAATGAGGGGGAGAGGGGGAAAAAG